ACGTCTAGGAGCTAAATGCCAATGTCCAGGTCTGCTTGCCACATGAGGGCTTAATTGAATTATCTAAACCTTAATATATATTTTTAAGAAAGGTGTATTTAAAACAGAAATTAACATGCGAAATAGAAAACATGTTAGGGCTCAGTTAATTTGGTGGTCACGAGACATCTGGCTAACTATATGAACCGTAGTCTTGGTTGGCTGACCACAGCCGCACTCCTGTGGCTTGCGGCTTTAATTTCCCGTTCGTGGAGGTTTTAATGAATGCGTGGGGTTGTGTTTTGTCCGAGGTTTGAACCTGGCTCTCTCTCTCTGTTGGGTTGGGGGGTGCGTTCAAGTTGAGCTAATGGGTGGAGCAGGAATCACTGAGGTCATAGTTCGTCCACCCCTCTGTAGGGGGCCGGTGGGTGGGTGGGTGGGGGGCTATGTCTCTGATTTCCACCCACACGCCGTTCCCAGCCTCTTCTTCTCATGGAGGGGGAGAGAGGGAGGCGATGGAGCGGCGGCCGAGGGTGTGAGTCAGCCAATCCGGATTTTATCTCGTGAGAGCCGAGCGAGACACAGTCTCTTGCACGGAACAACCCTGCGATTACTAAGCAATATACAACGGGAGGACAGGGGTGCTGTGTATAAAGCTAGGCAAGACAAAGATGTAACCATCCACCGCCCATCCATCAATCCACGCACCAAAGTAACCCTGTGCATATGCACACAATGACACATTGTCCTGCGGAGGGAGCTGGTAGGAACGTTGGGTTGCTCGGTCAATGGCCAGGGTCAACGGCGGCGTGGTGTATTCCGCAAATATGGCCGACTGTGAGGGCGGGCACAAGCCGGCGTGAGTAGGTTAAACGTTGAGTTTTATAAGGGCACCACGGGGTGACCAGACCCCTCCCCACCCAGCCCCACCCCTCCCACCCCCCACCCAGCCCCACCCTCCCCACCCAGCCCCTCCCCAACCTCCCCACCCAGCCCCTCCCCTCCCTCCCCACCCAGCCCCTCCCCACCCCCCCCTCCCCACCCAGCCCCTCCCTGCACGACGGACAAACGGACACAATAATCCCCTGTGGGCTGGTGGAACCAGTAGGTTCCTACCAGTAAAATATCCACCAAAACATCCACCCATAGACACATCCGTCCCGCTCTCCACGCATTCATCCGATCCATCCACACATCCATCCGCACAGTAACCCACCCATCCTTCATCCCTTTATCCGCACATCCATCCACCTTATCCATCCACCAATCCACCCATATGTACACGTGCGTGCTATACATGTCCACGTGATGTAAAGCCGCTTTGTTGAGCTATCATTTGTGGCCAGGTCGCTTCTGAAGAAGAGCTCCGTAACTCAATAGGCTTTAACCTGTGAAAATAAAAAAAATCGTTTCGAGTTTTTGGTTTATCATCATCATCATCGGAGTCATCGAGCCAGAACGAAAATCGTCAACGATGTGGGATGCTTGCGCGTATTTTTGGTTTATACTCGCGAGGTTTGTTTTTTTAAATCGATATTCAATCGATATTGATATCGATATTGAATCGATATTAACATCGATATTGAGTCGATATTCAGACAAGCTGGAGTTAGGAATGTAACACTTTAGCAAAGCGCTTGCAAATCCACGAACAAAAGCGGCTTTAATGAGAAATGTCACTCCTTCTTTCGAGACGTGTGCAAGTTCAGATGTGTCGAGATTATTTGCATATATATAGCGTGCGGTGTGAAAGAAGTTCTACGTTTATATGGCGACGTGTAAAGACTCCGTACAGTCACACTGAGCGTTTTTTATAGAGTGGCAGTCGTAGGATGTTAATATGTAGGTCTCTATGTATGTTGGTCTCTATGTTAGCCTATGGGTTTCTGTGAGTCTATGGGTGTCTATGTGAGTATTATCTGCGTCTCAATGCGAGTCTGTAGAGCCCTGTGTAAGTATGTCGGTCTCTATACAAGTCTGTGAGTCCCTATGTAAGTGTTTGGTTCTCTATGTGAGTCTCTGGGTCTGTGTGAACCACTGCAATGCAATTGTGGAGTTAAATAGCGCGTGCACGTGACAGCATCTCCACGCGTGATACAGAGCCCATGAGTGTAGATATTAGGCACATGGTCCCAGAAACACCCCGATGCCATTGCTCGTGACAGCTCAACACAACAGTGGTGATGGATGCGGTGTGCCGGGTTGCGGAATGTTTAAGTTTGTCTTCTCCGCGTCACAGACCCGGACTGGAAAACGTACGAAGATTAAATGGCATCGTTAACAGCCACTGAGATAAGTAACACTTTGAAATAAGTGTCATTAGGAGGCGAGTTATTTGGTGACGCTGCTGCTGCGTTGGCACTGGTTCACAAGCAAAACAACAAAACCCCAAACACATTAGTCAGAGTGGTCTTAAAATATATAATAGGCGACGTTTCGGGCAATTACCCTTCTTCATGGCACATAATGTAGCGTAAATATGTCCTGTGAAGAAGGGTCATTACCCGAAACGTCGCATATTTAGTTTTCCCTTTAAAGACCGCAGCGTCATTGACGAATGTGTAAAAAAAAACATTCCCCGTTGGAAGACACGCGCAGTTTAACAACCGAGCGGCAGCCAGTGAACAGAGTACGCCAACCGTGGAGACGGAGCGACGAAACATCATCTCGTGTGCCCGCGAATGCCGCCTGCGGATTGTCACATCATCGCAGCACCGTGAGAGATGGTGACGACTCGAGAGGGTGGAGAGGGGGGGAGCAGGCCTTCACCTAGCACAGTTGGATTGATCATGGCTGCTAACGATGGCGATAAGCGGAGTCACCGTCGTGCAATCCGCATGCCGCGCATTCATCTGCCGCTGCTGGCAAAGCTGCCGCTAATTGGTCTCCCTGCGAGTAGCAGCGTGGTCATCAGCAGCAGCAGCATCAGCAGCAACAAGAAAGCGCTCCGGCACAACGGAGTGAGTCATCCTGGGCAGTGAATCATACGTATCGTGTCACCCCCACCCAGTGTCACCCCCCCCGTCTCACCCCTCCCCACGTCACCCCCACCCCCGTCTCACCCCCCCCCCCACGTCACCCCCACCCAGTGTCACCCCCCCGTCTCACCCCCCTCGTCTCACCCCCACCCAGTGTCACCCCCCCCGTCTCACCCCCCCCCCACGTCACCCCCCCCCCCGTCTCACCCCCTCCACGTCACCCCCACCCAGTGTCACCCCCCCCCGTCACCCCCACCCAGTGTCACCCCCCCCGTTTCACCCCCCCTCCCCCACGTCACCCACCCGTGCGCTGGCAGCATTGGTTCCTAGAGTAGCAGCAGAATAAGCAGCAGAGTGAGAATTGCCGTCAGCAGCATGAGGGTTATCAACAGCAGTAGAGAGAGCAATGCCACGTCTATTAGCAGCAGCATCTTCAGCATCACCATTGTATCGGTAGCAGCATGACGATCATCAGCAGCAGCATCACCATTGTATCGGTAGCAGCATGATGATCATCAGCAGCAGCATCACCATTGTATCGGTAGCAGCATGATGATCATCATCAGCAGCATTTTCAGCATCACCATTGTATCGGTAGCAGCAACTAGATCATCAGCAGTAGCATCACCATTGTATCGGTAGCAGCATGATGATCATCAGCAGCAGCATCACCATTGTATCGGTAGCAGCATGATGATCATCAGCAGCAGCATCTTCAGCATCACCATTGTATCGGTAGCAGCATGATGATCATCAGCAGCAGCATCACCATTGTATCGGTAGCAGCATGATGATCATCATCAGCAGCATCTTCAGCATCACCATTGTATCGGTAGCAGCAACTAGATCATCAGCAGTAGCATCACCATTGTATCGGTAGCAGCATGATGATCATCAGCAGCAGCATCACCATTGTATCGGTAGCAGAATGATGATCATCAGCAGCAGCATCTTCAGCATCACCATTGTATCGGTAGCAGCAACTAGATCATCAGCAGTAGCATCACCATTGTATCGGTAGCAGCATGATGATCATCAGCAGCAGCATCTTCAGCATCACCATTGTATCGGTAGCAGCAACCAGATCATCAGCAGTAGCAGCAGCAACAGTGACTGTGTATCATAAGCAGCAGTAGAAGTTTCTGCAGCAGCGGTGATATGTGCATCAGTATCAGCGGTGTTGTTTGTTTGTTTGCTCTGTGTGGTTCTCGCAGCGATAAAGAACTCCACTCCTGGTGCAGTCACAAGGTCCAATTTATTTCCAGGACAAGCCGCACCCACAGACTGCACCGGCCAGGGCTTTGTTTCACACAAATTGTTCGGTATACTGAATACATCTTGACTTAAAGCTTTCGTGACTGCAGGAATTCATATTCTTGGGTCTTTCGGTAAAGTCACGTAGATAGGTTCAAATAAAATAACAAAAAACTACGACGTTTCGATGGCAAAAGGTTTGAAATGGGTGTAGCCCAAGGGTCATAAACGAAGTTGGCCGGGCTAGTGATGTAGTTGTTTGTTATTTTTGTTATTTTCTTTGCACCTATCTACGTGACTTTATCGAAGACACAAAAGTATTCTGAATACGGCGTGCCGGACGCGGACACATTTTTTGGGTCACTGGTCGACTGGACGAGGTGGCACGTGACTAGAAGTAGCCACAGCCCACAGTCAGATGTATGTTTAACACGTGGGAGGCTTTCACAACCAATATTATTCATAATAAAGTTTTTGGGTTAGATCGCGTTATTTATAAATGTGCCGTAACCCTCCACCACCCGACACGGCCAATCAGTAAAAAAGTGTCACATTGACATAAGACAAATAGTTCACTGCTTTAGCCCACCGGTGTGTTGAAGCGTGAAACCACAACATTTACAAGCTTTGAGTACGACGTTTCGCTGGTAATTGCATCCAGCATCATCGGGCAAAAATTGTAAATGTTGTGGTTTCACGCTTCAACACACCGGTGGGCTAAAGTAGTGAACTATTTGTCTTTTGTCAACGTGACACTTTTTTCTGATTGGCCGTGTCGGGTGGTGGAGGGTTACGACACATTTATAAATAACGCGATCTAAACCCAAAAACGTTTATAATGAGTCAGATGTATACTGGATGTGGTGTGCCGGTTGCAGGAATATTTGGCTGTAATTAAGCCCTGGGCCAGCCGCCAACATTGCGTCGGGATCCACAGCAATCTATCGGCCGATCACGATTCATTAACCCCAATCGCCCGAGACGATCATTTTTTTCTCATTACAGTATTGTTATTATTCCTCTCTCTTCGTTAACTTCAAAAATGCCCCTTGTATTTGTTTTAGTTTAGTTGTTCAAAAAATATGCCACAGGCAATGGCAAGAAAAATTTGTCAAATAAATACTGTTCATGTACTGCAAGAAACGACAACACCCCAGAGATAGTGCACAGAGTCACTGCCAGGGCCAGGCTTAGTCATCCCCACTCCACGGAATGAACACCAGGGCAGAACAGATGCCCCCCCCCCACCTCTTCTTACACATACACACAAAGATCCCCCGTGTAGCTTCAACAGACCCATTAGTAAGGCTGGTACGGCACACGTGTGAAGGGGTGGTGTGGCCAGCACCTACGCCCGGCCGCCTTTGTCTCCCCCAGTGCTGATGTTAACGCACCGCACCAGGTACTCGATAAAGGCTGAGTGGACCCAGCGGAGGACTAGGATCGGTTCAGATAATCGTTTCGGATCGATGTTGGCCGTGAGCAGGAATCGAACGCGGGTTGTTGGGTTTACATCGCAGATCTGCTCACTACTACACGACCGCTCCCCACTTACACATACACACAGACACACACACGGCACACAGACACACACACGCGCACACAACGTATCCCTTTCTGCCGGTTGTCAGATATGGTACAATTGAAGGATTGAATTAAAACCACCTCATAAAGCAGCAAGTAATTTATATTTTTGATTATTGTAATATTTGTATTTATTTATTACCCAGCAAAGCCTCACTGAGTCTCAAGATTATCATTCAGGAGGGTCCTGCCAAGTTGTTACAGTCGGGGTTAAGTGTCGTAACGTTCTGACTCGCCCCGACTGGACATCTGTAAAAAAGAGCTTCATCTTATTTCCCCAGGATCAATAAAGATGATTCTGATCCTGTTGCCGCTGTGAGTAATCACAAATAAGTAATTTGCAGGTAAAATTTCAGCAGCTAACTGGACCACACCAGTTCCACTGTGCGGTTGTTTTCTGTTTAGCTATGGGATAAACCCCATATAGAACATTTACAAACTCCATGTTAAAAAAGATGCCCGAGTCGGACATCAAACCCAGGGAGACCTATTTCTGCGAGGCACGACTGCTAACACTGCGCCACCAACCTGCGTGCCACACAATCTTTGCTGCAAAAACGATCAACGGTAAAGTTGCACCGCAGCTATTGCCTTTCTCTCACAGCACTGCTCCCTCCCTACACGACAGACGTAGCTCTACAGAGGCCGCTCGTCGGATATCTTGGAAGAGGTGGGGAGTAACCCACGCTTTACCCCACCACACGAAGCCATTTATATTCCTGGGTGGACAGAGGCAGTGGTGGGTGGGGGGATGGTGGGATTTAATAAAATTGCCACCATAGTTTCAGCTGCCGGGCTGGGAGATCGAACCGGCGACCTCTGGGCTGCAAAAGTCCGGTGTGAGAAGCATTTACGCCGTGGCAGCGCTCGTAATAAAGACACGGTTTATATTCGTCGTAATAAAACGACAATGTGAATTTAACAACAAAATATCTCACCATTATTCGTAAACATTTTCATTTTAACGTTTTTTTCTCCATTTATTTTCGAGACCTCTCTGAAGTTTTGAGCCAGTAGAATGAAAACCGTCCGGGGTTGCCCATCCCTCTAGATCCGGCCCTGGCCGACACACGCACTATCGACAACACGGTCAGCCGAGCCGACACACCCACTATCGACAACACGATCAGCCGAGCCGACACACCCACTATCGACAACACGATCAGCCGAACCGCACGGCGTCTTCCAGCACCCGCGGCGAGCCATCGGCAGACGCCCACGGTCGCTCGCTCAGCAGCCGTGACGACGACGATGACGGATGGAGGAAGAGAGAGCAGGGGCAAGGATGAGGATCGGGAGGAGGATGATGACGATGATGACGAGGAGGATGAGGGAGAGGCGGCAGCATCGCTCAGAGCACCCGGCAGCCACCCAGGGTGGCCCGGCTGCGCTTGGCCCGCTGTCTGCTGGGCCGCAGCGCCACGAGATCGGAGCGGTTCGCCTGCGCCCAGTGTGGGCGCTCAGCCGAGGTACCCACGGCCGAGAAGGGGTTACTCCCTGGGGCGAGACGGCAAGAGAATGGCACCACGCAGAACACCGCGCACCGATGTCCTGCATTCGCTACTTACGACGACGACGACTAGCGACGGATTCAAAGATGTTTTCATCATCATCATCTTACTCACATTTTTTTTGTTTGACCAGGTTAAGTCCCCGCTGAGCTACGTAGCTGTTATTCAGAAGCGACCTGGCCACAGATGATAGTTCAACGAAGTGGCTTATCGTCGCGTGGAAGTTTGTCGCCGCCAAATTCTCTAAACGCGTGATGTTGATTCTAAATATGGAGCGAAAAATCGGAAGACCCGGAGAAAAATCCACACGACCAAGGCTAGAACATGGACACTCCAAATATACAAAAGGCGTCAGGATCGGGATCGAGCCCATGGCTCCTGTATACCAGACGAGGTAGTTAAAGTCTCGCTACCCTGGCACGATCATGATCATCGTCAATCATCTTACTGGTACGACAGAGCTGTTGACGTGTGTCTATGTTTGTGCACGGGCAATGGCGCGATTCGTGATTGATTTTCGGGTGGGATTGCCACGTGGGTGAAATGCCAATGTATTATGTCGTGTGCCCTCCTCCACCCGGCACAGCCAAATGTGGAGTAGGGCACACGACACGCGTTGCCGAGTCACGTAGAGGCCAAGACTCACACAGGAACCCACAGACACACACAGGAACCCACAGACACACACAGGTACCCAAAGACTCACACAGGGACCCACAGACTCACACAGGGACCCACAGACTCAGACAGTGACCAACATACTCACACAGGGATCCACAGACTCACACAGGGACCCACAGACACACAGGGACCCACAGACTCACACAGTGACCAACATACTCACACAGGGACCCACAGACACACACAGGGACCTATGGTGATGGTCATACGCCACACCGATGTACACTGCGCTGTGATGGTGAATGGCAGCAGTTGGATTCGGAGGGTGCAGCCCTACCAATGCGGCTGCCCTTGGATGCCGGCCGGCTCTGCTCCTCTACCCTCTGTTGCTTCACCCTTATCAGATACTTCTCGGCGATGTACTTGAACACTGCACGCAACAGGGGGACACAGCGAGAGGGGGGTTTAACGTACACGGGATTGATCAATGCTTAACCAAGGCAAATTATTATATATATGTGTGTTTATATATACTAGCAGTGTTTTTGTGTCCGTGACAGAGCACTGGTGCGGGGAGCAGAGTCGAGGATGTCATGAATGGGGAAAGGAACGGGAAGAGAGAAGATAAATAAATGGTAAATAAGAGGGAAAAGGATGGAAAGGGACCGGAGAAACTGGAGCAAAGGGTCAGGAGAGATGAGGATGGGGAGCGGCGGGGCAGCGGTTAGCGCTACGCTAGAAACCCAGCGACCGAGTCCGATTCTCGCTCACGGCCAACACCAGTGACGGATTATCTGAACCGGTCCTGGGCCTCCGCGAGGTCGACTCAGCCTCAAATGAGTACTCGTTGCGGTATGCAAACATGGCCACTCGGGAGACAAAGGCGGCCGGGCGTGGTGCTGGCCACCCAACCCCCTTTGTGTGCCGTGTCGGCCTTCATTGGTGCTCGCTAACAGCACTGTGGAGGCTACACGGGGGACGTCTGTGTGTCCTGCGTGTGTGGGTGCGTGTGTGTGTGTATGTGTGTGTGCGTGTGTGTGGGTGTATGTGGGTGCGTGTGTGTGTGCGTGTGTGTGCGTGTGTGTGGGTGTATGTGGGTGCGTGTGTGTGTGTGTGCGTGTGTGTGCGTGCGTGTCTCGTGGGCCGCCGCTCGCCTTCGTTGACGTTGAGGTCCTCCTTCACAGACGTCCTGTAAAACCTCAGCCGCAGCTTCCTCGCCAGCGCTTCGGCTTCGTCGCTGCACAAAGAGACGCGGCAACATCGTCGTCAACGTCGTCGTCGTCATCGTCGTCATCGTCAACGTCGTCGTTATCATCGTCGTCGTCATCGTCAACGTCGTCGTCGTCATCGTCGTTATCATCGTCGTCGTCAACGTCGTCGTGGCGGTGGTGGGTTGGTGGTGTTTTGTGGTGGTGGTAGTGGTGGCGGTGGTGTTTGGTGGTTTTTGATGGTGGTGGGTGGTGGCAGTGGTGGGTTGGTGGTGTTTGGTGGTGGTAGTGGTGGCGGTGGTGTTTGGTGGTTTTTGATGGTGGTGGGTGGTGGCAGTGGTGGGTTGGTGGTGTTTGGTGGTGGTAGTGGTGGCGGTGGTGCTTGGTGGTTTTTGATGGTGGTGGGTGGTGGCAGTGGTGGGTTGGTGGTGTTTGGTGGTGGTAGTGGTGGCGGTGGTGTTTGGTGGTTTTTGATGGTGGTGGGTGGTGGCAGTGGTGGGTTGGTGGTGTTTGGTGGTGGTAGTGGTGGCGGTGGTGTTTGGTGGTTTTTGATGGTGGTGGGTGGTGGCAGTGGTGGGTTGGTGGTGTTTGGTGGTGGTGGTAATGGTGGCGGTGGTGTTTGGTGGTTTTTTATGGTGGTGGGTGGTGGCAGTGGTGGGTTGGTGGTGTTTGGTGGCGGTTGTAGTTGGTGGTAGTTGGTGGTGGTAGCGGTGGTGATTGGTGGTGGTGTGTGTCGGTGTTTGGTGGGTGACGGTCGGCGCTGGGTGGCAGTGGCAACGGGCCCCTTGCCTGTGCACCGCGGCCTCGTCCAGGAGGTCGATCTTGTTCTGGACGAGCACCGTGGGGATGCCTCCCACCTCCTGCTCGACCTTCTCCTTCCACGCGGCCACGGAGAGGAAGGAGTCCCGGTCGACGGTGGAGAACACCAGCACGCACGCCTGCGCGCCTGCACGCGGGCAGCAGCCGTGGTCAATCCACTGCTGGATGGGGGGGACCTCCTCCCGACGCTGTGCGAGGTTTTAATTTTTTAAGAACGAGCTCAGCAGGGCGAAGGGTAACTGGCAAGAAGCTACAGCCATAGCGAGAGATACACTGTAGGATGTGGTGTGTCGGGTGCTTGAATATTGCTGAGGCTGAAATTAATCCATACTACCCCGTGCTCGTCAGCGCGGGTTGGTGAAGGTGGTTTGATTTTCGGCGACTCTTTGAGCCGCTTTGGGGGCCCATTCAGCTTTTGCTTGGCTGCATGCAACTTGTCTGCACGCAACCGAGTTCCGCGTGTGACAGTGGGCGTCTCGGCAACCCGTTGCGGGCAACCGGTTGCGGGCAACCAGTTGCGGGCAACCAGTTGCGGGCAACCAGTTGCTCACGGCGAGCACGGTCCGAGTGGTTCGCGATGGGTGCGCAGGTGGCGGCGTTACCTCTGTAGTAGGCCTTGGTGATGGCGTCAAACTCCTCCTGGCCGGCCGTGTCCCACAGCATGAGCCTCACCTCGTCGTCGTCATCGTTAACCCTTCGGCGGGAGGGACGGTGGGAAGGGTTCTACGAGTCATTGCAATTCTAGATTTGAAGCTTTTGTGACTGCAAGGATTCATATTCTTAGGTTTTTTCGGTAAAGTCACGTAGGTAAAAAATTTAAATTAATAAAAGTAATATTAAAATAAAATAAAAATCACGACGTTTAGGAGGAAACACAAGCTTCCGTCTTCAGGTGGAACCGTCACAGCACGATAGCTGTATCAAGTGAGAGAAATTCCAAGAAACAGTCCTTGTATATATACTGGTTGAGGGTGGGAGGAGCCAAGGTAGGCCCTGAATAATAATTTATTTATTTTATTTTATTTTTATTTTACTTTTATTAATTTTAATTTTTTACCTACGTGACTTTACCGAGAAAAAAACCCAAGAATATGAGTCATTGCAAGTTGATGTTGCTCATTAACGATGATGATTAGGTGTGTGTGTGTGTCCCACATCGCTGTCTGTGTGTGTTTGCCGAACTTCTTTAGAAAACCGCACGTACGTGGACAACCACGCTGATCGCAGGTGCGGGGCAAGGACGACAAAAAATTAACCCGTAAAAACAAAGTTTTTCACTATAAATCCTTTATATGCGTGGCAGCTAGAGTCCTCTCGTCCCCTGGCTTGATATGGCTGCCACCTATGGGTCAGATGATTGTCTGCCACCATTAAGCAATTGGTAATTAAATATCATTTATTTTTTCCTAAAAAGTGTAAAATTTTGGAGAAAAAAAATTTCACGAAAATAAATTGTCACGCACGACGAGTCTGTGTGCAAAATGTCAGCTCGATTGGATCACGGGGAGTGGGTTAAAAAACGACCGAAAGATTTGCACGGTCGTAAGCGCGCAAGCAAGCGCGCAAGCAAGCGCGCAAGCAAGTGAACTTAATATAAAGGATTTAAAAATGAACCCTGCGCAACGAAAATGCACGAGACGGCAGATTTGGCTGACGGCTGCCCGCAGCCACTGACAACAGAGCTCATGTTGAGGTGGGGAGGAGCACAATGTTCGACGTTTCGCTCCACGCGCCTGCAGGGAGCTTCACTCGGCTCTCCGGCGCGTTGTTCGGCATCGCGCGACACGAAATACCCGTCGCAAGAACTGAACTCCCTCGATCGCTGTTTGCCTCACGATCACTCCTGTTCGATGTCAATTAATTCACTATTCCCTACTTGGTTTTTCCCCCTCCTATCTGGGCAGGGACTGTCGGCTGTGGTGTCGTTTCTGTATTCATCATTCGCGAACCCGTGTCCAAAAACCCCTTCACTCCTCTGTTGTTCTAGACAAGCGTTTCCTCCTGTCCTCGACGCCGTATTAATTGGTTCAACTTGAACGCTTTCCAAAGGAGGATTTAAGCGTTTATGCACGAGCTCCCTCGATCTTCTTGGAACGTGGTGGTGCGGGGTGGGGGAATGTCTCCTCTTCAACCGTGCGCACAATGCAGCGAAACAAAAACCACAACAACAACAACACAGCCCCCAACAACACAGCCCCCAACAATGGGTTGAAGAGAGCTGGTTAAAGGAGATAACAGCAGAGCCCCGAGACTGGAGCGTGGAACCCCCCCCCACCGCCCGCCCTACGGCGATGAAGACCGCGCACCGTGACGGCAAAATCCCCGCTGATGATTCTGCACGGAAGTCGTCGCCGGCGGTCGTGCCCATTTTTGGGGAATTTGTCTAAAAACTGAAAAAATAAAATAAACGGAGCCAGAGAAAAGAATCAGCCTGCGCGGCTAATTTTATCCGCTCGCCTGTTAAAAATAAAACAGAAAGGGGATTTTAAGCCGAAGCAGCAGGAGGAGCAGCAGCAGCCTAAAATTGTAACGCGGGGAGGTTGGAGCGACGCGAATGACTGCAGGTGACAAAACCATCGCAGACGGGATTAGCGGCGGTTCCGCTTCGCTTCGTGTGCGTGCCAGCCGTCTAGAATTGGCACCCTCTCTTCGTCACGCCAACACCCCTCCCCCCACCACCACCACCACCCCCGCCCAAAAAAATAAAGATCCCCCGTATAGCCTACAACAGACTGTTGGAGCAAGTGCTGTTAGCGAGCACCTATGAAGGCCGGCACGGCACACGAGGGGGTGGGTGGCCAGCACCACGCCCGGCCGCATTTGTCTCCCCAGTGCTGATGTTTGCACACTGCACCAGGTACTGATTTGAGGCTGAGTCGACCTAGGGGAGGCCCCAGCACCGGTTCAGATAAGCGTCACCGGTGTTGGTGGAAACGAACTCGGGTCGCCGGGTTCGTAGCGCCAGCACGCTAACCGCTACACCACCGCTCCCCACCCTCGGTTTCCTCCCAACACGGGTCCAAACGCTTTTATCCCTCCGTCGTGTGTTCTGGTTGTAGGCAATCGTTGGTGCAACTCGGAAACGCATCGGAGAGCCGTGCAGCGCAGCCGCGAAAAGCCCACGCCGTGGAACCGCTGAGGCTCCAAACATCTCAGCGTGGCAGGATCCTCCTGACTAGGAGTCTTGAGACTCGGCGCCACGGTTGTGAGATGTTAACTACCTCGCCTGGTATGCAGGAGGGCGTAGGTTCGATCCCGACCCTGACGCCTGCTATATATTTGGAGTTTGCGTGTCTCTCTCTCTCTCATCATCATCATCACGGTGGCTAGAAGATATTAACTACATCGCCTGGTATACAGGAGGTCGTGGGTTTGATCCCGACCCTGACGCCTGCTGTGTATTTGGAGTTTGCGTGTCTCTCTCTCTCTCTCTCATCATCATCACGGTGCCTAGAAGATATTAACAACCTCGCCTGGTATGGAGGGCGTGGGTTCGATTTCGACCCTGACGCCTGCTGTATATTTGGAGTTTGTGTGTCTCTCTCTCCCCGTGGTGAGATGTTAATGACCTCATCTGGTATACAAGAGGTCGTGGGTTCGATCCCGACCCTGATGCCTGCTGTATATTTGGAGTTTGCGTGTCTCTCTCTCTTATCATCATCATCATCATCACGGTGGCTAGAATATATTAACTACCTCGCCTGGTATACAGGAGGTCGTGGGTTCGATCCTGACCCTGACGCCTGGTCGCGTGGATTCTTCTCCGGGTCCTTCGGTTTTCCCCTCCACATTTAGAAACATCCGCTCAGGGTATTTGCTTGCTAAAAATGTCCACATGATGATAAGCCGCTTCGTTGAGCTATCATTTATGGACAGGTCGCTCTGTAAAAAAAAAGAACGATATCGTTTACTGGGCCTTACCTGGTAAAATAGAAAATAATTTAGTTTTAGTTTATTAGAAGTATGGTGAGACCAGTGGCGTAGGAGCGTGGTTGTCATGGGCCCTGATGCACGGAATGACAAGCGGGTCCCCTGTCCGATTTCCTCCCCCCTCTTCGTGGCCCAGTGCCTGGGCCTCTTTTGAGCCCATTGGATCCCGATGCAGTTGCACCGACTGCACACTACTCAATAGCTGTGTCACTGGGTCGAACAACACCCTGTGAATGGCATGGGATGGAGAGGCCTTAATCCAGCAGTGGACTGACTAACTGGGGAGGGCAGTTCCATGATTCTGGGTGTACATGTCAGACATTGTAACGATGTGGTTAAACAGTCGTGTAATTGTGACGTGGTTCGTTTTACTTGATCGTAAAATGACGGCCGACTTGGGCCGTCATGCATACGGATATCACAGGTCCACTTATCTTCTAAGTGCTAAAATGCTCGGTAAAAAAAAATGTCATGGTGGCGGACGTACTCGGATGAGCTGGCTTGACAATTGTGCGTTCAGTTTCATTTACGCGTCAAAACCGTCGACTCGTTCCATAAATAAGCCACATTACTACAATTGCAGATAATTACCTCCAAAATTACACACAGATGTATTATTAGGATGATATGAAATGTTCACTGTGATGTTGTCCAATTTGGGAACTGTCCTGCTCTGAATTACGTTTAATGACGATTGTTATTGTTATTATTAGCAGGGTTGGAATTACATTGAGAGACTTCAAGAGGAAGACATTGCAGTCCGTTTTCCTACGACGCGGGTGGTTTTCATAACGCGAATTGGATATAACGCGATTCATGTATTAGGAAACACATTTTTTTTTGTTACGACGCGGATGCGAATTGGATATCACGCAATTGAGTGAACAGAGCTACGTCGCGCGAAGTCGGAATAAAGCGGTCGTACGGCTGCCTCGGCGTAGCATCGCACAAGGCAGCGGGATGCTGCTGGATCCTTCTAGATGCTACCCACGCGCCTCAGTCTTTGTTCAGCCTGCGTACCCGTCTCACCGTGTTATCGCGTACTGCGCTTTACCCGATAGTATATATATATTAAATCTTGACTTAAAGCTTTCGTGACTGCAGGAATTCATATTATTTGGGTCTTTCGGTAAAGCCACGTAGACAGAAAAAATAACCAAAAATATCGACGTTTCGATCGCAACACAAGCGGTCGTCTTGCGGAAATGCAGTAATTTTTCTGTCTATGCGGCTTTACCGAAAGACCCTAAAAATAGTTGATCTATTATTGGAACGCATTTTTTTCCCCATAACGCGGTGTTGTTCAGGAACGCACTTACCGCGTTATAGGAGAACAGAGTGTACACGGGTTCATGACGTCTCCCACGCTCATAAGTGAGCGTGGGCAGGAGATGTCAGGGTGAGAAGGGACAATCTACTGCGGTCGAACATTCGCGACGGAGTGACAGCCGAAGAATCAAAGCGTGTCCGAGAGGACAGTCAAGCAGCAGGGGGGTGGAGCGGAGCGATGAAGTCAGCTTAAATGCAGGTGCTAGATTGCTGCTCCTGGGCCTCCCCTAGGTCGACTCAGCCTCAAATGAGCACCTGGTGCGATGTGTAAACGTCGCCACTAGGGAGACAAAGGCCACCCACCCCGTCGTGTGCCGCGCAGAGGTCGCAATCTAGTACCCGATACCCGTACCCTACCCGATACCCGGCTACCCGTACCCGGCCGGGTACGGGTACCCGTTTGCGACCCTGGTGCGGCCGGGTACGGGTCCGGGTAGGCCGTGAGTCACTGGTGAGTCACCGTTTGTCACTCATTTCCCAACGTCTTGTCCTTCTCACAATTCATGTTCCTAGAATAAACCCACCCGCGCCTGCAACATGGCTTCATCCCAGAGGTCGCAATCAGGTACTCGTACCCGTATCTTGCCCGATACCCGGCCGGGTACGGGTAGCCGGGTATCGGGTAGGGTACGGGTACGGGTATCCATTTGCGACCCTGGTGCGGCCGGGTACGGGTAGCCGGGTATCGGGTAGGGTACAGGTACGGGTACCCATTTGCGACCCTGGTGCGGCCGGGTACGGGTACGGGTAAGGAATCAAAACCCGTTTGCGACCTCTGGTGCCACGCCAGCCTTCGTCGCTGATACTCGCTAACAGCAACTGCCGCCAACCGCCAAGGCTACACGGAGGATCTTTGTCGCAATTCTTTCGTTACGTTGCAGGATCCTGAGACTTATGGAGGTCGGGGATGAATTTGTCGCTGAATGTTTGTCCAGGTGGCCGGTATAGACTGGGGTGTCGGGAGGGACGCGAGAAGCAGCAGCCAGGGGCGGAGAGACAGGGAAGCCATGGTCGCTGATCCGGAGAGGGCCTGCTCGGCTGAGATGAATCCCTGGCGCGAAAGGCCCGGGATCGGGTAAGGAGGAGTGGTGCCACGAGGCGTTGTCAGCGTTTGAGGTACAAACAAAAAACTGGTACACGCCATGGGAAGAAAAATAAAATCTCACAATAGCACGAGAGCGACGTGCTTTGAGTGACGTGTTATTATTTTTCCCGGGATCGGCGCCGTGGTGGTGAGATGTTAACTGCCTCGCCTGGTATACAGGAGGTCGTGGGTTCGATCCCAACCCTGACGCCTGCTGTGTATTTGGAGTTTGCGTGTCTCTCTCCCCATGGTCACGTGGATTTTTCTCCCGGCCCTCCGGTTTTCCCTCCAACAGTTATAAACATGCCGTTGGAGTATTTGGCTGATATAAATTTCCATGTGATAAGCCGCTTCGTTGAGCAATCATTTGTGGCCAGGTCGCTTCTGAAAAAGAGCTACATAGCTCAGTGGGCCTTACCTAGTAAGATAAAAAATTGTTTAGTTTCATGGTTTATTATTTATTACTACTGCGCGTCAACATCAACAGGCCGTTGCGCACACCTCCATCGTGAACGGAAACTTATAAACAAGCAAGAGAAGAGCGGTTGTAGCCGTGCAACCCAAACTGCGGACCACATAGTAAACCCATAGAAACACGTAGAGATACGCCAACACATACAGACACGTAGAATTCCATAGAGGCGCGTAGAGTTACAGAGACCCATAGAGATACATTAAAGACAAGCCACAGGAGTGTGATTGTGGCCAAGCAATCCAAACTATGTTCATATAGTAAACCCGCTGTACTCGGTGCGTCTTTAACGGAGGATCAAAACTACACGAAGCCCTCTCGTCGTAGCTAGCAGACCTTGACATTCACATTTAGCTCCTGAACAAATTGCCATCGTACGGAAAAAAACACATAGACGTCGTTAAACAATTGACAAAATCTGGGACTTCTAAAGCCCCGGGAAGACGTACAGATGTTCCCCAAGGACAGGAGCTAACTTCAAAAACGGGGACGGTTCCCTGTGAAAACCGTGACACGGTGGGGGGGGGGGGGGGGGTCACTCACCGGAGTTCTCTCTCCAAGAAGTCCACGCCGATGGTCTTCTTGTAGTCCCGGGTGAAGACGCCCTTACAGTAGCGCTGGATCATGCTGGACTTCCCCACCGATCCGTTCCCGACCACCACCACCTTGATAGCCACTTCGATGTCCTCCTCCTGCATGGCCACTCGTCTCGCTCTGCCTATCTCCTCCGCCTGGGCTTGACCGACCCTGTAACCGACCCACCAGGTCGGACCTCCTGGCCGGTGGCCACCCCTGTCACCCTTGAGGGCCCGCCGCGTGTGAAGACTTGTGGGATTCGGTCCTGAGCGTAGCTGCTGGGATGCGACGGCTTATTCGGCGCTTTCTCTGGGGCTAGCCGGGCCTCTGGATGTGAACCTGGGATGGAGATATGAGACCGTGAATCTGCATGATACCAGGCTCTGGGATTCCGGGACGAGATGCGGTCACGTCCGACCGGTGTGCCACTCTCGAGTACTCACCGAGTGTCCACGAACGGGAATCGGAGAGTTCGCGCAGCTTGGATCTTTCGATGGGGGATCAAGTGGACGGCGTTCTGCACTCGGCGTCACCAAATACCACCTCGTGGCGATAAGATGCGATATTGAAACGCGGCCATGCGCAAGGTGAAGATATCGATTTTAATCAAACTGCACGTGCTTTTTTTGTTTGTATCATTTAGACACGCAACCAAGTTGATGTTCGTGAACGTCAAAGTCGTTTTTTTTTCTTCTCTCAAAAGTAGCCGGTGTTGGCACCGCGCGTGCGCCTCTGTGACTTTGGAATCGTTTTTGAAAGCCGCGACCTGATTTGTGCCCGTGCGCGCTTCGATGAAAACTGTCGTGCGTGGCTCTAACTTCGCCCCCCCCCCCACCCCACTGCCGTCAGATAAAATATTCACCGCATCCTTACAAACGCATTCATTTGATCAAACATATTTTAGGGATGCGCATACTGCACAAACGCACACGTGTTCTATCCCGCTTGCAAAGAGGGTAGGTTTGTGTTGTTGTTTACTTTGCTTGAAGGGGCATAAACAAACTTATGTACTTCTCCCTGATCGATTACCCCGAACAAAACTCTCGATTCAAATTAACGAGCGCCCGTCCGTTCGAAGCAACGAAGGCGATCGAGGAGGAGGCGGAGGAGGAGGCGGTGGAGGAGGTGGGGGGAGCCGGTATCTGGATCGGAGCGCGATCCAGAAGCAGAGACGTTCGTCCCTTGTCCGAGCTCGCAGACGGATGTGGGAGCGAAGGGTGGGTACTCCTCTTCATTCGCCGGCACGGGATCGGGATGGGCAGCAAGTGGTCGCGTCCTGCGGGGCAACACGAGAACCTCGAGATCGCGTAAATAAAAATGTGTCGTAAAAACCCTATACCAATTAGTCACGGGGTTTGTGAACGTGAACAAAAGTTGCCAATCAGTCACTAGTTCAGCACGCCCGTGTGCTGGAGAGTAATTGTGCGGTAACAAAATTTGGCACAATCTTGATTTGAAGCTTTCGTGACTGCAGGAAATCATACTCACGAAACGTGCCAAATTTCATACTCTCTGGTTCTTTCAATAAAGTCGCGTAGGTATAAAATCAAATAAATCACGACGTTTCGGGCGCAACACAAGCGTCCATCATCAGGTGGGAAAGCATGGTCTACCGAAAACAGTCTGCCTCAGCAGCAGACCACGCTTTTCCACCTGATGATGGACGCTTGTGTTGCGCCCGAAACGTCGTGATTTATTTGATTTTATACCTACGCGACTTGACCGAAAAAAACAAAGAGTATAAAACTTTGGCACGTTTTGTAGCACGTGACGCACCCACTAATTGGCTGCGTCGGTTTGGTGGCGGGGGTTTTGAACGACGCATTTAAATTCAGGCGATCGAACCCAACCTAACAAAAGAACTTTCATCGATAACATTGCTAACGAAAGCCTACTTTGATACGTGCTCAACACAAGAACACACGCGCACAGAGCACAGGCGTCACGTCGTTAAAAGCTGGCCTCTCCCGCACAATCAGCCGGCGTTCTGGGCAAGCCGCCCTCGCGGAAGCAACTTCTCACACTTGACGCATTCCTTGCTGGATTCCCAAGTGACCTTTATTAAAAATGCAATTTAAATTGGAGGAATGTGAGCTTTTCATATCCCGTCGCTGAATAATGGAGGTGGTTTGTGGTGGGGGTGGGGTGAGTAGTGGGGGGGGGGGCAGGGGGGGGATCCCTGCAAGGGGGGCGGGGGGGCGGGGGGGGCGGGGGGGGTGAGAGGAGTTCGTCCCCACGATCGTGACTCACCGTGGCGCTCATTAAACACTCGTCCCCCCGTGTGACTAACGGGACACGGCTTAGGACACGCCACGTGTGTGTGTGTTTACGAACACGCAAAGGTGCCTCGTCACAGCCTTTAACAGACTGTTGAGGCAGGTGCTGTTAGCGAGCACCTGTACGGAGGCCGCCACCGGCGCATAAGGGGCTGATGTGGCTTATCAACCACGCTCCGGCCGACGGAGCCTCCTCCAGTGGCGATGTTTGCACACCGCACCAGGTACTCGCACCTCCGATTAGCACGGTTGGCTACGGACGGTGCGAAAGAAGCTCAACAAATACACCATTGGAACCTCATTTGCCAGTAAAAAATTATGATAATTGGTTTTTTACCCTTCCATCTGGCAACAAAACTGACACCTTTATTTACAAGGAGTCATGTTTGCATAGACCACAATATCTGCAGTCATAATGCAAACAAAAAAATATTTTTTTACTGGCAAATAAGGTTCCAATGGTGTAAATGCTTACCCCGAGCTCTCATACTCTGATGGTGCATTGTCTTTGAGTTGTGCGCCTTTTGGCGTCATCTGGTCCAACTCATGTGAGACCAGGCTCTAAGGAAAGCTGTCTCGGGTGTGGACCAATCAACTTCAAGGACAGTGCACATTATCAGAGTTATGTTTTTTGTTGTTTGCATTATGACTGCAGGTATTGTGGTCTATGCAAACATGACTCCTTATAAAAAAAGGTGTCAGTTTTGTTGCCAGATGGAAGGGTAAAAAACCAATTATCATAAGCTCAACAAATGTTTGAGGTTGAAATCCAGGTCGGGTTTAAATTTAAATGTCACTCGCCACTGATGTCAGCAGGCATTCAGTGACGTGCGCTAACCAGTCCTGCCCCCCCCCCCCCGTACAAAGGCAAAGATCCCACCCTATAATCTGTACAGGCCCTTTTGGAGCAAGTGCTGTTAGCGAGCATCTACGAAGGCCAACACAAGCACACGAGGGGGTGGGTGGCCAGCACCACGCCCGGCCGCCTGTGTCTCCCTCGTGGCAATGTTTACACAACGCAACAGTGTCTCATTTGAGGCTGAGTCGACCTAGGTGGGGGCACAAGATCGGTTCAGATATAATCGTCATCGGTGTCGGCCGTGAGCGGGAATCGAACTAGGGTGGCCCGGGTTCGTAGCGCAGCGTAGCGCTAACCGCTGCACTACCGCTCACACACACGGACACGCGCAATACGCACGAGGACTTGCTTATGATTCATAATTTGTATTATGCAGCGGACGAAGGCAGCTGGTTTCCAAACTGATCGTAAGTCTGCATCATCACCATAATCACCCCCAGTGCGTGTGCCGGAGCGAGCGTTTGGGAGGCTTGGATGGGGGTCGTGTATCTTTGAGGGAAGAAAGCAGCTGCATTCACCCAACCTGTTGTGGACTGAGATGGATGCGCCCCTTTGTTTAAACTCTCGGCTCGCCCACGTGAATACCCACCGGTTATTCATTTCGCTGAGTCAGCCCTGGAGAGTGTCGGTGCGTGCGTGTGCCGACGTCTCTGCGCGTCTGTCTCGATGCATGCCTTGGTGCGTAACAGCACTTACCCCGACGATCTGTCAAAGCTATGCTGTACGTGGGATCTTTGTCTTTTTGTGTGACTGTGTGTGTGGAGCGGTGGCGCAGTGGTTAGCGCACTGTGCTGCGGACCCGAGTTCGGTTCCCGCTCAGTGACCCATAACAGTGGCGAATATTTGAACCGGTGCTGGGTCTCCCCTAGGTCGACTCAGCCTTAAATTAGCATGCCACCACTTAAGAGACAAAGGTGGCAGGGCATGGTGTGATATCCACAGCACCCCTTCGTGTGCTGTGTTGGTACCTTAATGGGTGCTGGCTAACAGCACTTGCCCTATCTAAATGCCGGGATGGCTTTGCGTGTGGTCTGTGTGTGTGTGTTTGTCTGGAAGGGGGGCTCCGTGACAAACCCCATAGTGGGCCCCCGACAACTTCAAACTAATTTGGAAGTACGACATCTGACGCCGTGTCGTAGAATCGCGGGCACCCCCCCCCCCCCCCAAAGCGCGGGGCCCAGGGCGGGTGCCCCCCAATCGCTGTACCCCTGGGGACGGCTCTGTCTGCATGTCTGTGTGTATGTATGACGTCATTAAACTGCATGACGAGGTGGAGTTTCATCATCAACATCATGAGCAGCAGCCATGCTCTATCCACTGCTGGATGAAGGGCTCCCCCCCCCACCCCTTCACGCCGTTACCATCCCTCGCGGTAACGTGATGCATCTTAAATGCTTCTCAGAATCAGAACATTTATTTATAATTGAGGAATCCGATGAGCTATGAAGCAATTGTTTCACAGATGTCCAGTAGGGGCGGGTCAGAACGTTATAACGACAAACATTACACAAACACGATAGGAGCGCAAAGTATGGGTTACGGTGAACAAATCACTTTAAAAAGATAAGAATAAAACTAAACAATGTTACTACTATGAGACATCTCCTTTACCAGTGGCAAAATATAGTAATAGGGGTTTACCCTTTCAACTGGTACAAAAAACTGCCTTGTATAAAGGTGTCAGTTTTTTGTACCAGTTGAAAGGGTAAAAATCTATTACTAAACAATTTTAATCTGACCATCATCGCTCCATCTCCGCGCTGCACGTCCCCTCCCCCCGCCGCCCCCTCTCTCAGACGCGTTGGCTGCTGCCACTAATCTCGACCACCATCGGACATCCTTCCTGCCCAACACCCACGTGCCCTTCAAAACTTCAATCAGCAGACAATGGAGATGAAAGGGAGCTGCAGGCAAGTCAGAGATGAGAGCTCTGCATTTGCTGTGTTGCGTTATTTGGCTCTTTGACGTTCATTCGCCACTGGATTCGAGCTGACGCTTTGGGCCGATCGCCCTCCCTTGGTTGCGTTCAACGACGCCTTCAGCTACTTGGCGTCTCCTCGGCTGTCGCTTTGCTTTCCTTCAATGCCTTGCGGCGTCATCGCCCGTCAGTATCGCGCATTGATCATCACGCCGGCGTTCACCCTGAGCCCCTGACAGGCCACGCGGGTTAACGCGTGCACGCCTCTCTCTCTCTGTCTGTGTGCAACATTGAACGGTATCGCTAATTGCGCTCGCGTGTTCTTTGAGCCCCCTCCCTACTCCTATCTCTCTCCCCCCTCACCCGCCCGTTTAATACCTAAATGCGCTCATCTCGTATAATTAGCGTGGAGATTTGATTGATTTGGGGGCCGCTGCGATGGCGAGATGTTAACTCGCTCGCTTAAGTATGCAAGGAAGTCGTGGATTCGATCCCGACCCGAACGCCTGAATATTTGGAGTGTCCACGTCTCTTTTTTTACGATCAGTGGAAACAAGAAGATGCTCGGTGTATTCGGCACTTTGCTTCGTTCATCATTTCGTATTTTTTTTTACTTTGCTTTATGTAAACCCCCACCTCTCGCTCACTCTCTCGCTCACTCTCTCGGTCACTCTCCCCTCTCTCTCCCTCCTGCCCAAACTCTCCCCTCTCTCTCCCTCCTGCCCACACTCTCCCCTCTTTCTCTTTTTTTTCTCTCTACCCTAGTGGTCGCGTGGATTTTTCTCCGGGTACTCCGGGAATTTTTCCCCCTGCACATTTACAAAAGTGCGTTTGGAGTATTCTACCGCTGTACATTTCCACGCGATCAGCCACTTCGTTGAGCTATCATTTGTGGCCAGGTCGCTTCTGAAAAAGAGCTATTATAGCTCAGTGAGCCTTATCGAGTGGCGCTGTGGTTTTAGTGCATCGCACTCAGTCCTGTAGCGTGAGCCCATTCCGATGATGAACATTTTTTTTTTATTTCGACCGGAGCGCACGCGTTATTAAACACGCACGGGCTGGGTGGAGTGGTGGCGCACCGGTTAGCGCACGAAAGACCCGGGCACAAGTTCGATATCCCGACCACTGCTACCATCAGTGGCGAGTGAAATTTCAACCAGTCCTGCAATCCCCCGCCCCACTCGCTTTATGCCCACCCTCATTGACCAGAGTGGTGAAGTATGGTGAAACAACCCAATGACTAACCTGGTGCACAGAGGCACTCTGCCTCCATCCAGCAGTGGATTGACAAAAGGCTGAATATGATCAAATTCTGACTTTTAAAAAATTCAGAATTGCTCTGCCAACCCAGCAGTATGACTGTGCACGCTCAATCGGCATGTCGCGTATGGTGGTGGGGCAACATGTGGGTACATCCCACTTCTTCTTCTTCCAAGACGTCTGGCCAGGATCGAAGAGGTGGGGTAATATCCTGTGTAGGTGGTGTCAAGAGCTCCCTCTAGTGGAGGCTCTTCCTTAACGCTGCCTTATCACAAGACACGTGCAGCACAAAAGGCTAACGTTTCGGACAACGGTCCTTCTGCAGTGACTACTTTTGAAGAAGGGGCCGCGACACCAGGCACACAGTACTGTCCTTATTTAAGGATTAATCGACACTGGGAAAGTCTAGCCACCACTCGCCACTGATGTCAGCCGTGGCCTTGGAGTCGAACTCGGGCGGTCGGGTTTCGCAGTCGCCGCGCGATCATGACGACTGCGCACAGCAGCCCGTGGTGCGTGTGGGTTCGCCGAATTGCCGCAACTAACCAATGTCTTCGTCTCTTTGTCAGGCGGAGCGGTGCGTTTTTAACGAGGGCCGTGAATCATTTTTTAAAATCCTTTATATTAAGTTCACTTGCTTGCTTGCTTGCACGCTTACGACCGTGCAAATCTTTCAGTCGTTTTGTAACCCACTTCCCGTGATCCAATCGAGCTGACATTTTGCACACAGACTCGTTGTGCGTGACAATTTCTTTTCGTGAAAATGTTTTTTCCAAAATTTTTACACTTTTTAGGTAAAAAAAAAATTAGATTTAATTACCAATTGCTTAATGGTGGCAGGCAATCATCTGACCCATAGGTGGCAGCCATCTCAAGCCAGAGGACGAGAGGACTCTAGCCGCCCGTTTCAAAGACCAATGTGGGCTGGGTTGTGGCACATTGAACACGCATATACAGGATTTATAGTGAAAAACTGTGTTTTTACGGGTTCATTTTTTTTTATTTGCGGTCCAGGGATGCGCTATCTTGGATTACAATTTGCGCAAGTTGCATGACAATGAGCGGGACTCGCGGTGCTGCTCGACGCATTTCCGTTGCCGGCTAGCGCCACCTGCTGATGAGTTTTAACTTCTATAAAACTAGAAACTATTTTTTTATCTTCTTGGTTCTTTCGGTAAAGTCACGTAGAAGTGAAGTAATAAAATAATAAAAATAAAACATAATAAAATAATTCTCACAACCTCAGGTGAAGACCAGGTCTGTCGGGGAGACAGACGCTGTCTCCCCGACAGACCTGGTCTTCACCTGAAGACGGCTGCTTGCGTTGTGGCCGAAACGTCGTGAGAATTATTTTATTATGTTTTATTTTTATAATTTTATTACTTCCCTTCTACGTGACTTTACCGAAAGAACCAAGAAGATGAATCCCTGCAGTCACGAAAGCTTTAAATCGATATTTTTTTATTTTACCAGGTAAGGCCCCACCCACTGAGCTTTTATAGCTTTTTTTTCAGAAGCCACCTGGCCACGAATGATGATAACTCAACGAAGTGGTTTATCATCACGTGGACAATTATAGCAGCCAAATACGTTAAACGCACGTTTCTAAATGTGTAGGGAAACCCCGGAGAACCCAGAGAAAAATCCACGCGACCACGGGGAGAGAGATATTTCCAAATATACAGGAATCTTTAGGGTTGGGATCGAACCCACGAGATTCTATTTCCCAGGGAAAATAGTTAACATCTCGCCACCGCGGCGCCCTTAGCTATCGGTTTAGGTATGGCAGTCAAGACGGTGTCAATCTCCTGTCGAGGACAAGTAGGCAGCCTGCGGCATGGACACCGTGCAGAACACATTTTGAACGTGTGACCCGGGAGGGAACGTCATCGTTGCGGCGACAAAAAGGCGCTAACACGCAGCGTGAAACATGAAACTAATGCCTTATGAATACCGCGTAGAACGGGGGCATAGACATTTGATCTCTCTTGCACTGTGGCCTTAGTAACCTAGGGGGGATGGGGCAAGGTAGTAGGTCGGTGGGGGTATCGGGGCAGAGACCAGTGGTCTTGGTTTGGTGCGATTGGGGGGACTTTACAATTAGGTTGAGAACCAATGGTGTGTTCGCAGTCATGCTGTGTAGCTAAAGCGAGCCTGACGCTGCTGATGAGACACCGATTGGGGAAACCGCTCCAGAGTTTGCACGTGCAAGGACGGTATGGGGCTGTTTAGCTAAATAGGGCCTTGCCAGTTTAATAATAACAACGTCCGAGTCAACGTTGGTAAAACAAAAAGTATGTGCTCCCAGAAATAAGGTCGTGTGGCTGATTGGATGTGTAAAATAAATAATAATTTTTTTAAGTGGCGTGACAAATCTGCAAAGGGGGCATATGGTATGTTTATTTTATTTCGATACACTTAATAAAAAGGACTCAATAATGACGCTGGTGATTATTGGGTGTCCGTTAGGATTATCACTAAAGCTGCCGTTGGAATAAATTATCTCTATTCCATCCTCCGTCTTAAGTGCTTTAAAGCTGATTAAGGATTTATTTTAATGTTAGTGATTCCGCATGTGTGTTTGTTTTCTTCTATCCTTCCGTGCGGCAATTTGTTCAAGAGCTAAAAGCCATTGTAGAGGTCTGCTAGCCACGACGAGAGGGCTTCACGACAGAACATTTGTGTCGTTTTGCTGTTCCTCCTCCGTTGAAAGAGCCCAGACTGCAGTGCTTTACAATATTGTCCACAGTTTAGTTTGCATGGCCACAATCCCACTGCCGTGGCCTGTGTCTTTAATCTTCCATTTATTAAGGAGATGTTGCAGATCGGCCTATTGATGTTCTGATGCGGTCAATGTTTACACCAACCAGTGTCTTTGAGCAGGATGATTGTCAGAGCCAGGAGGTGTGCGATATTTTTTTTTTATCTCGAATGAGATGTTGATCCCGGGCGCGTTTGTGTTATGTAATATGTGCCATGAGTGTGTGCTGTGAGCCCATAACTAAGGTGCTCGTGTGCTATGTCAGGAATGCGTGCTGTACTGAAACGTTGATTAATTTCCAGAACAGTGAGCATCTGTGTTGTGCTGTTTAAGTGCCTTAATAGGTAAACTATATAATAGACGACGTTTCTGGCAATGACATTCTTCGTAGCACATGAATCAAACTTATTTATTAGGGCATCTATTTAAGGCAGATTCATTGATAAATGCATTGAGTCTTTCATACACATATATTCATGAGCTTAGCAAAACTACACGACCTCTCTCCCGAAGCCGTCTCGTCGTGGCTAGCAGACCTCTAAGTTGGCATTTGGCTCCTGCACATATCGCTGCCACACGCAAGAATTCCACTAGTTTAAGGAACAATGTTAATCTTCAAATCTGCGTCGCGTAATGTAAACTTCAGAACCGACGATATTAATCGACGAATCGACGCACGGCTACTCTAGACTAGTGGTTCTTAACCTTGACTGCAGCCTTTCACCCCTTTGGTTCTCAATCATAAAAAAATATATTATATGAATAAATACATAGGTCTGATTAAACAAAGTAGTTGTACTTATGAGCCAGTGCTTAATTTGTGTTTCTATGATTAAACTTCAAAAAAAAATCTGGCCATGTCTCGCACCCCCAGAAAGGGCATCTCGCACCCCCCGTGGAGTGCAGCGTGCACCCCAGGTTAAGAACCGCTGCTCTAAATCCCATAACATCACGCCCCAGCGACGCCACCCCACCCCTCACTGAACTTGGGACGTCTAATTCCGAACCTTAACCTCGCCACACTCGTTGTCCGTGAACCTGTTGGCAGCGCTGTCAGTAACCATGCTTACGTGTCAAACGCACTGCGTGGGGGTCACAGCACACGCCTGCGATCCAGCGCTTTGGAGGTAAGGGTTGGCGGATCACGCAGAGATTGACGTGAAACTCCCCCACCTCCCGCTTGGGTTTCCGCTAGGTAGCCGGGAGCTGGTAGTACAGAAAGTGGGTTCATGGAGCCATCTGTATATAGCGTGGCTCCGAGCGTTAACGCCTCCGTGTTGATGAGCTGGTATTCTCTGGGTTTCCGCCCACACACGAAGCGTAAACAAACTTATTTACAAGAAAATCGGCCAAGTATACCGAGGCAGGACCCTCTTGTAAGAGAGTCTTGATGCAATGGACACATTATATTATACTGAAATTAAAATTAATAAAACATATTTTATTAATTTTAATTTCATTTTTTACCTACGTGACTTTACCGAAAGAACTAAGAGTATGAATCCTTGCAGTCACGAAAGCTTCAAATCTACACATTATATTAACCACCATCGTCACGGCATGCAGCAAGTCTGGCTGACCCACATTGCCAGGGAAATGAATTAACCCACATTGAACCACGTAGCAATGCATGTTGTTCGGCTCATCGGCATCCCTGCCGTAATACACCGCAACTTGCAAATGTCAGCATTTCTCACGTCGGTTCTGCGTTACTTTATACCCAATAACCATTCGACCCGGGCCCCCTTTAACAATCCATCCGGCCTTCTCAACAAGACCGTCTAGGGCCCGCGTGTGTGTACGTTTCATCCACACCCTCCATCACGCATATCCTCAACAGGACAAGTTGACCTGCATCTGACAAGCTCCCTCCACCGATCATCATCATCACCACCACCAACCCACCACGACTGACCTGGACGCGACCAGCTCTCTCCAGGTTGTAGTAAAGCCCCACTTGTGTTGTGTGGCAGCGCCTCGGGCCGTGTCTCTGTGTGCGTGTGTGTCTTGTGTGAGTGTGTGTGCTGAAGCGGTGTGTGTGTGGACTGCGAAGCGTTCTTTGTTGCCTGGTTGCTAAGTGGAAACGTGGAGGAGGAGGAGAGGGAGGGGAGGGAGCCGGTGTGTGGGTGAGGAGGAGGAGGAGCAGGCCATTCGATGGGGGTTACACTGTCTGCCCCCGCTGCCTTGCTGCTTCGGTGAATTTCATCAGCGTTAGGTCTTTTTTACAATCGCTAAGTCGAGAATGCACAGATGCCATTTGCATACTCTTCTGTACTCGGAGCACTGACAATATATATTTAATGTAATAGTACAATTGCAAGATAGCAAGTACTCTGAGTTAGTTTTGATGTTCTCTAGGATTGAAAGAGTATCGTTGGCGACAGAATTGCATGAACAAGAGCAGCACATTGAAGAGTTCCATCAATTTTAAATGGACCGTTGTCAGCCTTCTGTCGTCCGTCACCTCTTCGTGTGTCGCTATCGATCATCACGTCTTCCGAACTTCTTCCGCTGCTTTCGGTGGCAGCCACTCGCAGTAAAGTGTATTGTTGCGGTGGAAAGGAGCCCAGCCAGAAGCCAGCCAGGAAACTCGAGGCATGAATTAGTTGTAAGAGTAGTACGGTAGTCTTAGCGAAAACAACGAAAAATGACATTCGTCAACAACACTGCCCTAAAATTAAAACAATAGCTGACGTTTCGGGTAACGGTCCTTCTTCATGGCAGAGAGAACAACACCTACGAATGACCTGCACGAGATCACCAGCGCTCACGATGCAGAACGGCCAGAAAAATAATAAATCATTCCGGGTCATTTCCCGAAACGTCGCCTACCATACACATTTTTTTTAATTGCAGTGTTTTTTGTCGAGCGTGTGGAGTTTGTATTCTATGTACATCACACGCATAGCTGCGCCTCGTCTCTGTCTTCCACAACAACCTGTGGAACGCCGCATGGTGTTGATTCGATGTTCACATATCCGACCTTCTCAGTTATCCGACTATGCATCAAGACCCCCCCCCCCCACCCTCATCTCCCAACGTGTACACTGAATTCTGGAGATTCATTTGAATTGTATTGTTGCGTGGTATTTATTTTAAATCGCAACACAATACCTTCCTGTCCACCCCACCCCTCATCGCGGCAATTATATTAATAGCCGTTTAATTGCTGGATTGCAGTGCTGTGATAGACAAAAGGCCCTTAATTGCAGTGATCATTTGGCACAATCAAGGGCTCACAGAAAAAAATAATGCAAATTACAATCCAACAATTATTGCTCTCCCCCCCCCCCCCCCATCAAACTCGACTATAATATTAACATCGTCAGAATGCAACGTTCACGATACTGTCTACATTGTCAGGAGTGATTCAAAAGGGTCATGTTCTCTCCACTGCTGGATAAAGGCTTCCACAAATGTTTCGTCAATCTGATGCATGTTGGGGAAACGAAGGAGGCAACGATTTGTGGTTTATCTGCTCTGATGGACTCTTACGTTCGTTTGCTAAAATTTTATGCAGAGTGGATCCACATTATAACGTTGATGATTATGACGATGATCATGGTGGGACTGGTGATGATGATGGTGGTGTGTTGTCAATGATGTGCTGATAATGGTTGTGACATTGACCATTATGGCACTGATGGCGATGCGTTCATGTTGGTCGTGATAATTATTGATGCTGCTTATTATGATAACGATGGTAACAATGGTGAAATCAATAATAATGATGATTGCTCAGTAAACGTGTAACATTGGGTGCATGTTGAGCCAACTTTGCCCGAACCTTAACCTGTTAACTGGGTGTGTTAATGATGGATTATTGTGGAAACGACCACCGCATCGATAGGTGCAGAGCATCAACTATGGATACATCGATTAATCGTCCATAATCATTCTTATTCTCATAACCCATGCAACGAATCGTGTTTCCTATCGATTACGGTGCTGCAATTTCCATACGCTGCACGTCCCCCTACTGCCACTAGAGGTCGCTATTGAAAAAGAAGATTGCAATCTATAGATGGTGTATAGTTACGGGTATAATGTTAATGATACAAAATTATCCATTACGTTGATGAAATAATTCACTCCTGTAAGGCCGTGTGGCTGATGGCATCTGTAAAACAGTTTTCTTTTTTTAAGTGGAGGGCCAAATATTTATAATCTTAGGTTCTTTCGGTAAAGTCACGTTGGTAAAAATAATAATAATAAAATTATAATAAATGAAAATAACAAAATTCATTTATTATTATTATTTTATTTCTATTATTATGTTTATTTTTTACCTACGTGACTTTACCGAAAGCTTCGAATCTAGAATTAGGGCCAAATATTTATTTTTGGTATCGATTATTGTAGCTTTGTTAACCATGACGGAGATTATAGATAACGATCAAGTTAATTATGATCAGATCAGAGTTACGATTATGCGAGTTTAACGTACAACTGCTACAACTTCCAACTGAGGTTAAAATGTGTTTTGTCCTTTCAATAAGTAATGTTAATCACGATATTAATATTGATAACGATTACGGTAACGATGGTTGTCAAAATCACGCTTATTAATCAACATTTAACTTTGCAATGCAACAAAACATTTACGAAATGTCAATGGAATGACATCACGTCATTACGAATCTAACCACATGACGTCATGATCAATCAAATAACATTTCAATGCTAAACTATTACGTATTTACCAAACTAAATAATGACGTCAATGCCAAGCTAAAATGTAAAAACGTGGTTCAATACAGTGCCGCGTTACAACCTAAACGATGATGTCATTACACAGTTTAAAAATGACGTCAGAGTAAACCTGAGCGAAGCGGTCATGACGAAGGCAAACAATGACGTCACCACACGGTGGCGCGCAAACCAGGAAATGACGTCATCACGCCCCACTGCCTGACAGATTTGGCGGGAAATTTCCGTCTACGCCGTCGCCATCATCATCATCAGCACCACCACCACCTACCTTTAACCGCGTCTATAACAACTTTACACAATCAGATATTCACGATAATTACCTCACAGAGCGACGAGAACGCACCCGGGGCTCCACGTGAACTCGTCACACACTGCCAGGTTGGTCAGCGGCGCGGTTGTCACTGCTGATGTTGAGACTGATGATGATGAACAGGCGGGAGGAGATTAGTCTCCTGCCGTATTGTAGTTAGTGTTTGGTTATGATAAGTATTATTGTTGTTGTGTCTCCAAGGTAGCTCGGGGTGGGAGAGGGGAAGGAGAGCCATGCTGCTGTCGACCGCGGGGAAGAAGTTGGAGGCGAACGCCGTGGGGTCTGGCGATGAGGAACAGCGGTACCCTCACGTGCTGCAGCTCTACTCGCGGCCGCCTCTCGGATCCGTCTCCCTCGTCGAGTTCGAGGCCCTCGCCGTCCAGAGACTGCGGCGTGAGCAGCTTCGCGATCATCGCCACGATCCATGCGATCATAATCATCATCGTGGTGATCGTGGCGGTGATAACGGTTGATTGACCATGAACACCACCACGATTACCACTCTGAACATCATCATCATCATCATCGTCGTCGTCACTGATTGCCACTGCGTTCAAGATCATAATTACCACGATGATCACGATAATGGTCGTGTGGATGATAACCATTATCACGATCGTGGTATAGTGATTGATCACGGGTGAGATCAATACCACTGTCATTATTGGGCTCAAAGCGACCGTGACATTTTTGGTGACACCACCACGAGTCCATGATCGTCACCACAATTAGTATCACCGTGACGACTGCCACTGGGTTATCTGTGTGTTGTGGTGGTGGTGGGGGGAAGGCATTGCCCGAGACGTCTCCTATTATGAAAAAAAATAGGGTTTGCCATTTCTGGCAATAAAACAGGTGTTAATATTTTGATGTAAAGCTTTCGTGACTGCAGGGTTCTTTCGGTAAAGTCACGTAGAAGGGAAATAATAAAATAATAAATATATAAAACAGAAAATTTTCTTGCAAGAAATCCACGGCAAGAAAACTTTCTTGCAAGAAAATGTTCTTGCTGTGAATTTCACACCTGATGACGATTGCTTGTGTTGCAGTCGAAACGTCGTGAGAATTTTCATTGTTTTATATTTTTATTATTTTATTATTATTTCCCTTCTACGTGACTTTACCGAAAGAACCAAGAATATAGGTGTTAATATGTTCAAACAGTTCTGTCAGAGCATGTTTGTTTGCATGTACATGTGGTTAATGCAGACGTGATGCCTTGCAACAGATTTCTATTTGGTGTTTGAACATCTCAACGCTTGTTTTATATCCAGAAAGGGTAAAACATTCTAATTTGGTCATACTTTGATACTGGTACAAAGGTCCCACGTCTCCTATTATATACGCGTTCTTTTTGACGTTATGTTGTTGACAACTGTTGAGGTTTTTTCGTGTACGTGAAAAGATATCGACTTTTCTAGCAGTACCAGAAGCCCCCACTAGATGGTACAGCTGCACCTCTCTTGCCTGGAGCTGCATTCATGAACAAGGATATGCCTTGGAGTGAATTTCGATTGGAAAAGTAATTCGACTGTTACATTCATTACATATTTATCCAGGTGAGAACTCATTGGGACTACATTAAAATTTAACTTTCTTAAACCCTATATGGAAGGACCATTTCCCTAAACATCACTGATTATATCGTTTTTTATTTTAAGGCAGTGTTATTGATAAATATGTTGATTTTTTGTGTTCACTTCAGTAGACATAATCTAAATAATTGACAGCACATTGCGAATGGACTACTGGATGAATTCCTCCCCATGCCATGTCAGCCATGGGAGATTTGATGATCCAGGCCAGATTTGGTTCGGATGTCACTCGTTCATTCATATAATAGTCACTCTATACACTATCTGTTTAATGTTTGGTAACTCAATTGTAATTGTACTACGATCGGTCTGTAATTAATCTTCCCCAACCGTCTTGTATGACAGGGACTTTATTTAACATTAATTTACGTGCGTTCAATATGTATTAGTTTTTATCTATGATTGCTATTGGCTTTGTTGTCACTCCTTGGTTCTTTCGGTAAAGTCACGCAGGTAGAAAAATAAAATAAAAAATAATATATTACGACGTTTTGATCGCAACACAAGCGGTCGTCCTCAGGCGGAAACAATAATAATCCAGCAGTGGAACTGCTGAACCAGCGAGAGAGCTGTTACAACAAGGTTATATATGTTGCATATATATAGAGAAGTCGGTTATATATGTGGCATATATAACCTTGTAACAGCTCTCTCGCTGGTTCAGCAGTTCCACTGCTGGATTATTTTTTTCCGCCTGAGGACAACCGCTTGTGTTGCGATCGAAATGTCGTGATTTTTTTATTTTTCTACCTACGTGACTTTACCGAAATAATCAAGGAGTATGGATTCCTGCAGTCACGAAAGCTTCAAATCAAGATTTGTTGTCGTACTTTATCTGTTCTAATTTTGTCACTTTGGTGACCCAAGTCTCTTGCAAATGAGACTATTCTGGTCTCTTGAGTTCTCACCTGTGTTAAAAAAAACTTGTACTTGATATTAACTGTGATTGGGAATTAAATTCAAGTCATTAGTTTCATAGTGCAGTTTGCCAATCCCCACACCAAACCTTCATCCACTCAAGTATAATAACGTGCTTTATTTAGTACGTTTTGCAACTTATATATGCACTGAAATGTAACTTATTTTTTGGTAATTTATGTTACATTATCAACTACCAAAAGAAGATGGACAAAGGCATTTTTTCTTGTGAAGACTTTGCATTTGTAGTGTTGTCAGGATGGATGATTCATCATATCGTATTTAATGAATAGTAAATTAATGCACTGTTTTTGCATTGGGTACATACAATGACGGTAACATGACTGTGTGGAATTTTTAGTTCTCAAGTCGGTGGAGCGGATCGGAGTTCTGTTCATGAGGGGCACTGAGAATTACGACAAGAAGCTGGAGGAGGAGCTGAAGAAATCAAAGTTTCCATACAGAGTGAGTACTTAGCACTTGGTCCTGCAGGCACAAGTATACGTAGATTTTTTTTTTTAAGTGGTGGCCTGGTCATTTAAATGGCTAAAGAAAGTAAAGTTTCAGCCCTCTAATTAATAGCTCATTTGGTCACGCCTGTACTGGAGGGTGACTCAATAAATATCGGCCTATTCAACACTGGCTAGTTGTCTTGGAAGAGGTGCAAGCACTCGCACTTAACCCACCATACACGTCTCGCCGCTTGACTCACTGGGATGACCATTTTTTTTTACTTCTGGGTGGGCAGGGACTAGGGGATTTAAGAAACTCACCATTTGGTTAAACTGGCCGCACCTTGAGATTGAATAGAATTGCCCACCTCTGGATTACAAAGTCCAGTGTGCTAACCATTGCACCATGGCAGCATCCCCTGCTTAATTTGTATCAGTGGAAAATATAGTGTTTAATTAGCCAGGTTGTGCGGGAAGTTAATTACCACTGAGCTAGTACAGCTAGAATCCTGGTTTTGAGTCTGGGTTTCATCCATTTGGGATTAAACTGGGTTCTCAAATATAATGACCTGATGATCTCGGCCTCGTCACCAAGTCATTGTGGTCACTAGCGTAAAAAGCACACATACATTTTGGGTTTTCACTTAGTTTGTTTTATTTTACCGCTGAGCATAAAAATGGTTTGACGTGATGAGCACCTTGAAGGGAACAAAGTGTACGTCTCCTACTGTCGATAAATATATGAAAGGGACTTGAGAAAGTTCTGTATTATCATCTTGGACCATTCTCTGACTGAAGGTGATTCATTGTGAGCTGGGAGAGTACAGAATTGTTATGTGTCTACTAACACGGTACCATTAACATTATTGAAAACATTTTTGGGGGAAGAAAAGGAAGCCATAGCTTTGAAATTTTAATTCAAGTATATTAATGGTTTCAACAGTAAATTTGCTTTACCGTCACAATATGCAGCACTTATATTGTTTTTTTATATATGATGTTTGATGTGCAGGATAGTATTACTTTAACAGAAGTTGATGACCAAGAACCAAGAAAAAGGGACCACATCTCCCACTTCATCCTTCGTCTTGCCTACTGTCAATCGTAAGAGCGCAGTGGTCCAGGCGTTATGTCCTGGGTCCTTGAAGAAACACGCAGCTCGCTGTTTATGACGTTACACATGCACAGTCGTAATCCATCGTCGTTCATTAGCGGTCCTAATTTATCGCTGAGGTTCAGAGCAATCCGTTGTATTTTGGAGTTATAAACTTCAACTCTGGAGTTATAAACTTCAAAATGTTTGTACTGTCATTGTTGCAATTTTTTAATTAACGCCCTAGGAATGACTATAACGGTGCGTTATAAGTTGAAATAATGATTCATTATTATAGAGGCAGCAATATTTGTATTCATAGCATCTTCATGTCACCCTCCAATCAAACACACTTGTTAAATATTTTAACATGCTCATCTCCATCGCCAGTGTGATTTGTTTACGTTATTTAATGATTGATAAGTTAAAGTATTTGATATATTTGTTGCATGTCTATTAACTTATCACTCTGTATTTCCAGCACATCGCAGCATTACTTAAATATTCTGTCTTTCCTGCGTTCACATATTTGGAGTCAATATTTACACATGTTTTAAAGTGATGCTTTGCACTACATTTAGCGACGCATTCCAGGCTTTTGTGCCCAAAAATCCTTTAACATGGTTCATCAAAGTTCACTGACCGCCGGTAAAATAAAAGTAAAAAAGCACTTTCACATATGTAGAATAATATTACATTTTAAAAATCTACCAAAGTTTTTATATTCATGGGAATTGATGGGGATAGTATACTTAGATGTACAGTAGTATTGACTTTGCATGAAAGTATGTTAATGTGTCTTCTTGATTCTTTCGGTAAAGTCACGTAGAATGGAAATAATAAAATAATTAAAATTAAACATAATAAAATTATTCTCACGACATTTCGACCACAACGCAAGCAGCTGTCCTCAGGTGAAGTACAAGTCTGTCGAGAAGACAGTCTGAATGAAACAACCCCAGGCTTGGAGCGTCTATTTAAGCTGGGTTGGAGGGGGAAGAGCGCCTTGACAAAATAATTTGCATATCAAGAGGAATTTAGAATATTTATGGGAAATGCAGATATGGGATTAGTACTACTTGTGAAATGCGTAGGAGGTGGGCGGGGTGTTTAAAGTCATTATGCCCGTGCATTATGCAGGATTAGCAGTATCAAAGGGAGGGGATAGGGGTAGCATTAATAAAGGGACGGAATGTTAATAGTATGTAGCTGCAGTAACTAAACCACCACGTAAACAACTAAAGTATAAACTACATAGTATGTAAGCTGAGCTTATTAGAGAGTATATTTAGTATACGGATGATACTGGGTTTGTTTCATTCAGACTCTGTCTTCTCGACAGACCTGTTCTTCACCCGAGGACGGCTGCTTGCGTTGTGGCCGAAACGTCGTGAGAATTATTTTATTATGTTTTATTTTTATTATTTTATTACTTCCCTTCTACGTGACTTTACCGAAAGAACCAAGAAGATGAATCCCTGCAGTCACGAAAGCTTTAAATCGAAATTTATGTTAATGTGATTACCATATTGTGTTAATTAAATTACAGCTCATTATAAATGTAATCATAGCTTTGCTTTCATCTGCAACTACTTTGCACACAGGCAGTATGAAGCCCACCCACACACTCAGCCACTCCAATTCAACCTAATTTGATTTTAATGTAATATTCTACATCCACGCTGCCTACATCTAAATATTGACGATGTTTTTCCTTTTATGCAGATATTAATTTAAGGCCCCTTTTTGTTGTGTGCAATGGGAAACACGCTTGGTTTCATGTTGAGTAGCTGGAAATGAGAAATGAGCTCACCAATTGCACTTGAAAGCGCACAATATCTTTGTTGCTTTTTTTCTCCCCATTTCAGTTTTGTGGTTGGCATGGGGTCACAAGATGAACAGAAAATAGATTTGTAACTCTTATCGTAAACAGTGTACGACAATTGCAGAGCCGTCTCATAAGATGACAGTTTAGATTCATATAGAACAGTACAGCACCTATGTTTGAATCCAGGCATCCACCCATGATTTAACTGAATTCTTGAGTTGATTTAGTGACTTATGGTCATAGCCCAGTCACCATTGATTACCCAAAAAACCCCGTACAGAACAATACGACATTGGAATGGTGCTGTACAGAACAGTACGACATTGGAATGCTGAGGAAATGGGGCATATTTATTTATTATAAGGAGAGAAAGAGACCGTTATAGGCAGAGCAAAAAGGCTCTTGAGCCTGGACTACTTGAACAGGAGCAGGCAGTTGACAGCACACCTTCAAAAACATTGTTTTGTCACGTGTCACTTGAACTGAAAACTTTAGTTCTCGGCTGAAATAAGTTAAATTAAGTGAAAAACTAAAATCATTATTACAGGGTTTTTTGGGTACTCAATGGTGACTGGGCTATGACCACAAGTCACTAACTCAACTCAAGAATTCAGTTAAATCATGGGTGGATGCCTGGATTCAAACGTAGGATATAAGCATTTCTGGCAGCCTCATAGCATCGGTGTAGCTGGAGGGCGCCGAGCCAAAAATGTTGGTAAAATATTTAACACCGGTGGCAATTAAGCGATATATGTGTTGTAACTTATACAAAGATGGTGAGAGCTAGAGCAGAATGAATGATAGCAGATTATATTGTTACTCATTCTGTGTAGCCGATCAGGATTCGTTTAATGTTTGTTTAACATTGACTGTGTGCCCCCCCCCCCACCACGCCCCTAGAGTTTTTGTATACCCTCTTTTTAAATACGGTCATGGTATAGGGCTGGTTTCGGGCTCAGTGCTGTTGACATGGTATGTGACACCTGAATCACATGGCCACCCAGAATGTGCGGCATGTTCATGTGAACGTAACTGTTTGATATTCTTGTGCGAGTCGGCACTCATGCTGGGGGCGGGTGTGTTCCGTTTCTGTTCCAGAGAGGATTTGCGGCGTTGGTTCATCCAGCAGGAGATGGACCTGTTTCGGTTCCGCTTTCTGCAGCAGATGTCCGAATCGGTCACCTCGTTCCTCAACCAAAACAACCTCACATATGAATCTGTGAGCAGTACAATATAAGACGATCGTACAATATGCTTTGCAATTGTCAAGCATCCCAGGACGCGATGCATCAGTGGGGGGAAACAATAGGGAATGAGGCTTGGGGAGGTGGTGTGGTGGAGAAGAGGAGTTGACAATGGGGTGCTAGGACTTGGTAAATAATTGGGAGTACTGCTTATGGTGGAGGGACACACTCATATCCACACCATTCATTTAAATGTGTAAGTGTGCGACTTAGGAATGACTTTGAACATCAGGTGTTGACTCTGCAACAATTGTAGTCGTTCAAATAAAGAGGGCATCAATGGCATTCATAATTTCCTGATTAAATGACACTTAAGTATCTCCCCAGACACTATGAGAAGCTTCAGACTGGGAAACACTCCACCCCTAGGTTTCTAAATACAACCACTCTTTAGGTGAAGAAAGGAATGAATGATAGAAGACTTGACTGTGAAATGGCCAGGGTTGTTGAAGCCCAGTGGTCGCCAGAGACATTATGTTAGGGAAACAGGCCCACCACATTGCTCATGTGACTTGGATTTGTACAAGACCGAGACAGGAGTGAGAGATGCTATTCCTCTCCCCCTCCTCTTTTCCGAACATAGATGGACTCGTCCATCTGACCAACTGCCAAATCGCTGTCCGTGGTGCTGACGTTAAGAAAAAAAAACGCCACTTTTTTCAAAATTTCTTGCTGTGGATTTCACACCTGATGATGATTGCTTGTGTTGCAGGCGAAACGTCGTGAGAATTTTATTATTTTATATTTGTATTATTTTATTATTTCCCTTCTACGTGACTTTACCGAAAGAACCAAGAATATCAGATGCTATACATTTATATTTTAAGCTTGTCACACCTAAATTATGGCTATGCATTTCATAAGGTAGAGTACAGTTTGTATTCAGATTGTTTTACAAACCTCAGATGGTCCCGACAAAAAAACAATCTGTCTTATAATAGTCGATTATTTAATTGTGATATTGCCAGTTATTTATCAGTAATATAAATATGAAATTTCTATGCAACTTGAAAACTATTAAAAGTGAAATAAATATATTTTTATTTTGTTTGTCTTTTCATCTCATACAGTTGTCTAAAGAGGAGATAAAAGAGTACGAACTTAAGCTGACCGCTTCCACCTATGGGATGAGTCATCACAAAGTCAACGAGTCCACGTTCTACAAGGTGCAGTATGTCCTCGCCCATTTAATAAGTTACTTTTCCTTGGCGGAGAGATTAAAATGTATTTTGGAGCATCTTTGCCATATTATCTAGAGGTAGCATGAACCAAATCTTGGTACAAGCAATATATCTAGGGGAATATTCGAGCACTGTGTTTGTAAAATGGTTCAAGTTCTCATGTTATGAGCCATGGTTTCAGAAGGGCCCTTTTCAGTCGTTATAATTTTGTATCTGTAATGTGAGGATATATCCGAGTCGTTGACGGATCACAACTCGTTACGATGATTGGCTCTGCCGGTCCTGGCCCATAGCCAATGGGGGGGAAGCCTAGGGGCGTGGCCCTGACGTTATGGGAAGGTGACATCTGTAAGTAGAGGATTGGTTCTGCTGGCTTTACCCACAGCCAATGGGGAGACGAGTCAGGGGCGTGGTCCCGGGAGCCTACAGGTGGAGTCTGGAAGATTCCATAGAGGTTAACTAGGATTGGTGGAAAGGTACCACGTGACCCGGGTATTAAATAGGGGTGGAGACGAACAACACGTGGTCAGGACTGGAACGAACGGAGGGAAAGGTCACGCGGGAGCGGGGGTCCAGGCTGCCACGTGGCCGCGCGTGTCTCTCTCTCTCTATCCCTCTCACGCTGTCTGTCAGCAGCGTGAAGGAGTGTTGTAAAGAAAGACAAATACCAGATTCCAGAAGTCGCTTCCACGACCTTTATTACACATGTATAGGGTGCTTAAATGCCTCGGCATCTCAAACTGCTTTACATCACATCTCATCTCAACCATTCGAAGGGCACCCCAATGGCGGCTATCCCTGTGCGGCACGGTGACGACACCGGCCTGCAAGTGGGCACTAGTCTGCCAGTCGGGGCAATTATTGCCACTTTAGCAGGTAATTTTTAGTTTTATTTTGATAGATTTTTGCACCATGACGATGGCACACAATGGCAAGCTCTTTTTGAATGACGTCACAGGGTCTTTAACATCCTCTGTAAAGCAGATGCCACATTGTATGGCTGATACGCCCGCGGTATTAACCAGGGTGGCCTGCCGCATTCAAACCGTGAACCTCTGCAACAAGCGATGAAAGTGCTCCTGCTGGGCTGTGTCATGGCTCTATTATCATGTGTCTTTTGAGCAGGGTTCTTCCTTAGAGGGCTGAAACGGATTTCCAAATACCTTAAGTGGGCCACATTTTAACACAGACCTCAGTCAGTGCCTTCAAATTAAAAGCTGTTTTTTTACAGGTAGTAAATTTCCCCTCTAATCTGCATTCACTGTGGCTAAGGTGCTCTAAGTAACGGATACAAATCGTACGCGGGCCGTTTCAAATTGGTAGGCCTCATGATTCTGTGGGCTGTGTGAAATTAAGTTGTGGGCCACAGACATCCCATCCTTGATTTATACTAAGCTGGGAAATCCAATTCTTAAAGTCATCAATTAATCTTCCAGTTAGCGGGTTGATTACTCGACTAATTGAATTACACAAATAGTTGTAAACAAAGTCTTACCTTTTTTCCCACGTAGGCTTGTTCATGTCACCAAAATAATCAGTTGTGTCATGCTGAGAGTGCGTTTCCTGCCTTTGGGAGGATGTTTTTTTTTACAGTTGCTGAGCACAGGCCCAAAACGCGAAGCGACCAATAATACACTACTCTCAAAGTTGTAATCGATTAGAGTTAACGATTCTGGAATTCGGAAAGGTTACCAGAGATTGGGAAAAGAGACGATGGGCAGAGTTTCTAAATTGGAGGAGTGCGAGGGAAGAAGCGTCAAGAGAAGTGTAGTGACCTGACCTGTGGTGGTTGACCACAATATAGATGAGACGAAACATTCAATCTGCTAGACCGAGTACTCAACATGGGAATCGATGAGTAAAGTACATTGGAACAATTACCATGGTAGTATCAGTAGTAGAGTGATAAGGCGGTGACGAACTGCCGTTGAGCGAGCAACTGGAGTGAATCGGCGAGTGTTGGATCATCAATCAATCCGACTGCTCTACGTTGAACTTGGACGCTTGTGAATGATGTACTGCTGCATGTGCAGGTGCCGTTCACAGATGCACTGGAACTGGTGCGGAGCCGGAAGGTGTTCGTGCGACGCGGGATCGCTTTCATTCCTCAGAGGGACCTGGTCACCATTGTACTCAATGACTTCCGCCAGAACCTGTCGCGGGCACTGACCGTGAGATGCGCAGAATTTCCGATACATGCGCCTTGACCACTGAATCACCAGTGTAATTTTAGTCACTTTTATTTTCAGTCATCGTCTCAGTTTTACTGATGGCAGCTCGTGGCGTGTTTGTCCAAACGTATTCGTTTGTGGATTTTATCGTCATTCTCTTAGTCTAGTCGATGAAATCTGTCAAGCATTTAATCCACTATTCGTTATTAAATGTTGGTGTGAGAGGTGTGCAGTTTCTCCTTCCCTAATATCAAACAGATCAGCCAATAAGTGAACGTGATCAACATTTTTTACGCACATTTACAGCCAATAACAATGTTTGGTCTTCCTTCGTGCACTGCTGTCTTTATTAGAATCATTTCATTCTGACTTGTTAATTACATCTTATCCTAAGTCACAATTTGGTATTTAGTCCGTAGTTGTCACATTGTCTTGCTTGATGATTGTCATCTGCACATAGTTATCATTAACTAAAATAAAAAAATACTCAATTGATGAATATTTTAATGACTTATTTCATGAACAATGTGTTCAGTGACCCTGATGCCGTTCGCCCATCCTGAGTGCTGACGGAAAAAATTGCTTGGAAAATAAATTGGCTGAAGACAAATCAGTATTTACCAGTTGATCTATTTACTTATTTTAATATTTATGTTTAATATTCTACTGTGTTTGGAGAATACTGAACATGTAATTCAATACTAGACGTAAAAATGTTTATTAATGCAAATACGGAATTATGTTTTAAGATTCTTTGTGCCAAATGTACACCAGGGTGAATGTTACATTTTTTTACGATAAAAATTGGTCCTATCAGATGTGCTTCCAGCGCCTGTGGTAATGCTAGTTTAATACGTTATATTAATCGAAAAATTCCAATCTTGAATCAAAATTACATTTTTAGATCAAAATTGAATGACTTGTTTATATATTTTCACATGACAAAGGTGATCGAGTGTAAGTGCTTATCCCCAGTGTTGGTCCCAGTTTGCTTATTATTCTGGTCACACTGTTTCATTCTTAGTAAAACTACAGATCTCACAATCTATGGGTCCGGTGCTCAGGTTATCAAGGTTAAGACAGGGACTGGATGCTTGCATCTGTTAAATAGATGTTGCAGCGTGTTGCAGTTTCCCTTTAAGGCAGAAGGCAAAGACGCAATACTCGATGTTGTTAGCTGCATTTATTCGCAAAGGTCAAGCGCGTGTGTGTTTTTTTCAGGATTACAGGAAATTAGGAAGATAAATTACTTGAGGCTACACAATTCCCTCATGTGGGACAATAGGCAGAGACTGATTATTTTTTCAAGGGAATTTCCCTAATGCTGGTATTTGAAAGGGCCAGTATTTTTTTCATATTAATAGTCAAATGGTGAAATCTATATCAAACACAGAGCTCTGTGGAACATCAGACTCCAGTAAATGTAATAAACCGGCACTGCTGAGATGCTCTGTTCAAATTAATCTTTCATCCGTTTGTGATAAAGCTTTGCTTCCTGAGTATAGCAAGGTGATAGTTGTAGCCTGTTCCCCAGTCACTGTACAAAATTGTGATCATATAAAATGTGGATTTGTGGCTTATTTCAGCTGATGCCATCTCCGGGACTTTTGGTTTGATTGCCATGCCATGTATGTTCGCAGGCAATATTAATGCTTTGCCACCTATTGTGGTTAAAGAGGCCTGCTGAATTAACTTGGCTAGTAGTTTTTTTCGATTTAAAGCTTTCGTGACTGCAGGGATTCATATTCTTGGTTCTTTCGGTAAAGTCACGTACAAGGAAAATAATATTTCTTTACTTTTATTTTATATTTTTTTATTTTATTATTTCCCTTATACATGACTTTACCGAAAGAACCAAGATCCCAACCCTAAAGATTCCTGTATATTTGGAGTTTAAATATCTCTCCCCGTGGTCGCGTGGATTTTTCTCTGGGTTCTCCGGGGTTTCCCTACACATTTAGAAACGTGCGTTTCACGTATTTGGCTGCTATTATTGTCCACGTGATGATAAACCACTTCGTTGAGCTATCATCATTCGTGGCCAGGTCGCTTCTGAAAAAAAAGCTATAAAAGTTCAGTGTGTGGGGCCTTACCTGGTAAAATAAAAAAAATTTATCGATTTAAAGCTTTCGTGACTGCAGGAATTCATCTTCTTGGTTCTTTCGGTAAAGTCACGTAGAAGGGAAGTAATAAAATAATAAAAATAAAACATAATAAAATAATTCTGTCGACGTTTCGGGCCACAACGCAAGCAGCCGTCCTCAGGTGAAAACCAGGTCTGTCGAGGCGACAGCGTCTGAATGAAACAGCACCATGCTTGGAGCATATATTTAAGCTGGGTTGGAAGGGGGGGAAAGGGCGCCTTGACAAAATAATTTGCATATCAAGAGGAATTTAGTGGTCATTGCCTGACACTGCTCACTGTGAGTTTCCTGAATGGAATTGCGATTATCTTCTGACATGAAGGCAAACGAGCATTCGAAATACAATTGGAGAAAAATAACAACAAAATTGTAAGTTTAAAAACAAAATTACAACACGGAGCACATGAAGGTGTAACATTCTACGCATCGTGATTGGAAATTGGGTGATGCGTTTATAAGTATGAGACTACGAGTTTGTAGCCCCTGGCATGAGGGGCGAAATGGGCGATCCAGGCGAGTTCAGGGCTGCAGGTGATGCCCTCCTCTCTGCTGTGCCTCAGATAACAGCACGACTCCTGCCCTCCGTCCAGGAAGATGAGCGACTGCAGCCTCTTCTCACCCACCTGAGGTAAGCTGGCACATCCGGTTGCCTTCCACACTGGTCGCTGAACACATCAAGATGTCCTCTGCACAAGTGACCGACACATTTGGGTGTCTTACACAGGTCAACTACTGTGCCCTATAAATTCCTGGCTAATTCAGGGGTAGTAGCTTGCACCAGTATATATGAAACCAAACCCTGTTGCTTTGATGAAAACTAAATTTATCCCATTTACAGCTTGCAATGTTATTTGTTTTACTTCTCATTTACAAATATTTTTTGAACACTAATACAAGAAAGGTTTAAAAACACCACTGAAAATCACAAGCAAATCTAGAAATGCAAAATCTAGTTCTACAGTGGTTACTGAACCGTATAGTACGAAACTGACTGCTTAATGTGTGATGCTTCAGAGCAGGGTTGTAGATGCAGCCATCAATAAATCAGAATTCCTTTGTACGCCGTTCAGTTTTGAGCTTCGGGAGTGTGACACGGTATATCCGCCTCAGGTTTCTGCTAATGTCTCCTTACCAGAAATTGTTCTTACCAGAAATGTTTTAAGGATTACTTTAATTACTGATTTGCTTGAGAAGAAACCATATATTATATATTAACACAAGAGTAAATCCAGTGAAAAGATGTCTTGATTAAGTGGTTGTTCTGCATTGGCAAAATGTCAAATCTTACTGTCAATATTTGACCACAACTCGTGCGATTGTTTTTTTGTTCTTCTTTAGCCAGTTCACACGATATTTACATTAAGTGATTGTGATGTTCGATGGAAGCGTACCTCAGCAAAGCCCTCTGGTCTCTTACTATGCAGTGTGAGCCAGGCACACATGACTGCGCACATGATTGTGCTTGCACAGATATATGTTCATGTGCCCTAGTGTGTGTGTGAACTATTATGATAAGGCCTTAACGTGCACACAGCCTGGCACAAACGAATGGCGGTTGTTGTCATTATGATAGCTCTTGTGCTGTAAGAATGGCAGAGTACCCAATGCACTTACTTGGCAAATGTGTTCATGTCAAATTGTGTTCTGCAGCAAGTCCTACATAGGTCAGGATTACAGTGCACCAAAGCATGCTGGGCAAATCTCTCTGGATCAATTAGACTCTGTAAGTAAAGCATCTTCCATACATGTAAATGCCCACATCATTTTGATAATGTAATTGTTTTATTAATTTTATTTTCACGTGTTGTTCATTGCACAATGCAAGTCCAGTGTACTAACCATTTTACCACATTGTGTGAGGGGAAATTATAATTATGATGACAATCATGTAGCGCCGTAACATGGAAAGCCATTGCAAGGGCGCTGAAGTAATCTGATGGTGACGATGTCTGTTTCCGCTTTTGTCTCCGGTGGCACGACGTTTGCAGCACGCGGCGCGCTCCTTCCCGCTGTGCATGCGCCAGGTGCACTCCGCGCTGCGGGAGCACCACCACCTGCGGCACGGTGGGCGCATGCAGTACGGCCTCTACCTCAAGGGCATTGGCCTCACCCTGCAGCAGTCCCTCGACTTCTGGAGGGCCGAGTTCGCGCTGGGTGTGGGCGCTGACAAGGTATGATGACCATAGAGTGAGCGACTTCCTTGCCGTAAAAAAATAAATCTCGGCAAGGAATGCGCACTTGTTCGTTTGTGTGGCAGTTAATGTTTTCCTTAAAAAAAATCGCACGAGAAATGTTAAATGTGGCGAACGAGAGTACAAATTGGCAGTTAGATTTGCTCTTTAAGCTGTCAAAAAAAATTTAGTTAAAGATTTAAGATGATGAAGTGTGACTACGTGGTAACGAGCAGAAGGCAACACAGCAAAATACATGCACCCCATATCTGTACTTTTACCAGCCTGCGTTGACCAGCGTGGTGAATCTTGGTCCAGTATCCCTTCCACAATGCACACAGCGTGTGGAAGCTCTCATCCAGCAGTGCGTTGACAAAGGCTATGTTATGACGGTAATGTTATTCTGAACTTTTGAATGCGAATAACCTTTTTTTTTTTATTTGCCTCATTGTTTTGCCGACTTCCCAATCATGGTTTTTCTAGTTTGACAAGTCATACGCTTACAACGTCAGGCACAACTACGGCAAGGAGGGAAAGCGCACAGACTACACTCCTTACAGCTGCATGAAGATCATCATGACCAACACGCCAGCACAGGGTGACCACCACGGTGAGGAGGAGGAGTAGTTTAAATTTTTATGAACATGTCAGCCTGGAAATAACACTCGCTTCAAGAATTGGACATGCATTCGCTGACACATTAACTTGCGTTGCACAAAATTGCAAATGATGTACCCTCTCGTTGGAACAGAGATGTTCTCTCACGCAACGTTTCTTTATCAAGACATCGCATCGTCACACACATTAATATAAATTCTAAAGACACTTACTCAACTTCATGAACCGCAACTTAAATAGTAACCTTAGTTTTCACAAAAGGCACCCTCACTGCAGTGTGCGGTTGAGCGGAGACGACGAACATCATCCTGGCATTTGACACGAGAGAGGGCACGTCACATGACCTTGCCGCCACGCGCCGTCAGCTGGCTGCTGCTACTACTGCTGTCACCACCACGTCTGTGCTTGAATGTTGAGATTTGGCTTGAGTGAAGAGTGAATGTGTCAGTGCTCAGTGATGGCAATTATTTATTAAAAGTTATTGACATGAGGGTTCTAATTTGCAGGTTGTCCTTTCCGTCATACGGAGCCGGAACTCCTCAAGATGAAACTCCTGGCGTATAAAGTGCCTTCAGCAGACATTAGCCAAGTGAGTTGCATGTACATTATTAGAGGGTTCATTATACTGCATTCTTTTAACTCTAAAATATTCATAGGAGTTTTAGGCTGATGTTGGAAATGAGGATGTTAGATGAATGGCATTTCTCTCTCGTTTTAATTTCATCTATCTTGTCTGTACGTCAGTCCTTGTTGAACACCATCGAGCATTTAAAATTCTCTTTCTTCCTCTCGGTCTTTTACCAAGGAATATTCCCTCAATTACTACCTTCCCCTGCATATTGAAACGTAAGGGATTGCATTTGAATGGTAGTGTAAAGCATGTACGGCAAACCCTTGAATACCTGTGGTAATGGGAGCAGGAGGTGGAGGAGTGTCCTGGATCATACAAAATACAAAAAAAGCACAACATGTAAAACAGGATATAGAACTTATCTATTGTGTATTTATGTAGACTTTTGATGAAAATGTTTACTTATTTGCCGATATTTGTACTCTTGTGGACACTTGAGCCACTGACCTTCCGCAAATAATGAGAAGTGAATCATTAAACGTGTATAGATATACATACATTCTGCAAGCACAGTTAATTCGCCCATTGGCCGATCGGGAATTAACTGCATAAAGCATGCATGCAGACATGGCCACATCTCGTGTGTTACGAAACAAATTTTACTCAATACATATTATAATCAACGGGTTCCCATTCTCAGCGTTTTAATCACAGCTTCTAAGCATGCATGTGCACCTATGGTAACATTTAAAGGTGTGGAAATGATTGCATTGCATCGATGGTGTGCTGGCATATGGGGGGAGGGGCTGGTGGTGAGTTGAGCGCTGCGGCAGTACAGTGGCGGCGGGTGGCGGGCGGCTTGCGACAAGGCTCTGCACGTCCCCGCTTCGATTTTCTGTCACGAAAGATGAACGGTGAAGGGAATGAAAGTTTAGTTAGGCCCTTTGTTACTGAGCGGCGTAACGATTGCTCGGGGAAGAGGGATGTGGTGTCGGGCAGAAAATCCCGAATTGTTGTGGTCGTGTGGTATCGTCACCATCGATCTGACACTGAAAGATCGACAGGAAGCAGAGAAAAGAAAAAAATCTGTAATTGCTAAGTCGAGAGCTTTAAGAAATTTCATTACCAAGTTTGCTATTTTTACCCCAAGGCTTGTGCAAAATTCGTTAAGGTGTGACCACACTTAGGAACAGCCCGGATGGATTTGTGTCATAATTATAGTCAAGCACAGCACTCCATCTTCGATGCGTATAGTATGTTAACGAGTCGCATTCACATAGACAATGATGGTACAGTTATGGGTTGTTGTGTTATTGGTTTGATTGTTACACGATGGCAGATGTTTTGCACAGTCTGCTGATGAACGAATTGTACTGTGGAACGAGTGGTTTTTCAGTTCAAATATAACCACAAATGCTTTATAACCTGTGTTGAGAAAAAAATCTAAAGCACAGCCTGCAAATCCATACTGGCTTAACTAATTCCATGACTTTGCAACAATAAGCCATTGTGTGCCGTGCCATTCCGTGATAGATTGGGAGAATTTTACACAGTCATTAAGCAACTACAGTATAAAAAAAACGCGAAAGGTGCATCCTGAAGTTACTTAGTCATGTCAATGCTGGCAGAAGGGCCTCCCCCAGAAGGAGCTCCAGAGAGCCCTTCTAGAGGGTACTTGGGTCTACTCTGCCATGCTAGCTGGACGTCTTGTGAAGTACCCACAGTTTAAAGTTCAACACGCAACCTGCAGATTGACTTAACTGCTGGGTGGACAGGGGCGGCGAGATTTAATAAACTCGCCTATTGTTTTGACCGCTGTACCGGGAGATCGAACCGGTGACCTGGATTGCCGTGGCGTTAACCTTCACGCCACGTCGACATCCCAAGCTACGGTTATTGTCACTTCCCAAACACTCGCCGCAGCCTTGTGGGCCAAACATCCGCAAGACGACACTTGGTGCGTGGTCGATGATGGGAATTTGCGAAGAGGTAGAGACGGCAGTGCGGGAGGGGGGGGCGGCCTCTGGGAGCCACTGCCACACCACACGGCTGCTCCTAAATTATGCATAGGGGCGGGTGAGCGGGCGGGAGCACGGGCGTGCAAAGGCTGTGGCGGTCGATCAATGCTTCCCCGATTGGAACGTCTGGCGGCTTGAGGACTCCCGTGTAAGCAGCTGTTTTTGAAAGCGGGGGGAGGGAGAGGTCGTCCTATTTGCCGATCGTGGCATTTTCCTTTGCAGGCGAGTCAATTTTAATTGTGCCCTCAGGATACTGGGTTCCCAATAGTAATTTTAAGCATTTACAAAATGTTATCTTAAAATAACTGCAGCTTTCGTCAGCATATATATTTTTATGGTGCTGTTGCCCAATAGTATTTTAGTGTATATTATGTCTTGCCCAGTTCATTGTGTATATTTGTTTTGGACAGACATGTAGTAATTATTAATCGCCAATATTTATGCCTAGATTTTGGATCTGGTTAAAGGAATGCATTATCAGCTGGCCTGCCAAAAGTACTTTGAAGTTACGCACAAGGTAAGCTTTGTTTTCCAAATTACTCTCCAAGAATATTAGCAACGTCAGTCTTCAAACACATTAAATATTCCGAGCTGCCACAATTGTATAAGATGTAAAGAAAACTCGAGTGTTCCTGGTGGAACTCTATGGATCAAAGTACGTATAAGCAGGCGGCACTGTTCTGTGTATCCACATAAATAAAACATGGTATTCCTCTGGCCTATTGGCTTTTCAGATTAATATCCAGCAGTATTTGTCGTGCAGCGTTTGCTTGTTTAAATAAATTGCTTCGAGTGTGCTTGCTTAAACAAATGTTGTTGGATAACATTGGTCTGGAGGGCCAATGGGCCAGTCAACTAAAATGTTTTTTTATTGACATGTGTCAACAGAGTTCTGCTTATCTATGCATTTTCCCATGGCTTGTTCGTTTAAAACAAAAACTATATATACTATTTTATTTATCAGGTAAAGCCCACTGAGCTATTGTTCTTTTTAGAAGTGACCTGGCCACAAATGATCGCTCAACAAAGTGGATTATGTGGACATTTATAGCAGCCAAATATTCTTAAATGCATGTTTCTCAAAGTGGAGGGAAAAACCAAATGACCCGGAGAAAAATCCACTAAAACCACGGGGATAGAGACATGCAAACTCCAAATATACAGCAAGTGTCAGGGCTGGGATCGAACCCACCACCTCCTGTATATGAGGCAAGGGAGATGACATCTCTGCACCGACGTTTTGGCTTCAATGTTAATCCCTGGGCTATTATTCAGTGCTTTTAAATTTAACAATTTAACACGTGGCAACCCTGTGTGTGTGCGCCTCCTCGACAAGGTGGAGGACACGAGCTTTGCCCTCAACCACCCAAACGAGTACTTTGAGGAGAGCGTGCGCCTCCTTTCGGGAGGCCGCCAGGCCAAGAAGGAGGCCGACAGCCTGGGCCGGTGGGACACATTGGCCTCCTCGGGTTCCACTCAAGCCTCACAGGGTGGCAGCAGCAGCAACAGCCAGCACCTCCCGCAAGCACCACCACCCAGCAGCAAGCAGCGGCCAAAGGCTGACGCTCCGGTCAAGAAGGAACTGGCCGAGTTGGCCAACGAGCTCATGGAGGGCCTGGACTCGGAGGACTTCCTTGATGACTTCATGTGATGGCAAAGGAGGGCTTGGCGAGGTGAGGGTGGAGGCCCTGGCAGTGTCTTGTGGTAAAGGAGAACACGCGAGCAAATGACAACACGAAGGGCTCGATAGGTTGTGGAAATTTTACAGCGGTCATGACGTTTTGGCTTTGACTTAAACCCTGGGCTGTATTCGGTGCTTTTTAATGTTGTGCTTTGATGTGTTTTATTCATGAACGTGTGATTGTTAGGTGAATGCGTAATGTGTAATTTTTTATCAAATCTAAACGAGTCCGCGTGTTTGTTTTGTAAATGAAATAACTTAAAAATAAAGATTACCTGTTTGTATTGTTATTCAGTCGGTTGCATTTATTGCATTTGTCGTCTAGTTGCCAACATTTTATGATGCTGTCTCTGTTCAGTGTATGGTAAAGAAAGTGCAGGAATAACCTTTACGCCGCGTGCTACTCTAATGCGTTTGGGAGGGAAGACCCTAAGTCATCAGCGTTGGCGACGTGCAGAGGTGTTTTGTGCGGGAGTGCTGCAATAAACCACAGTTATCGAGCGACCGGTATAAATGTGGAGATAAAGGAATCGCACAGCCGCAGTAAAAGTGCAGCGGCCTATGCTCGTAATGTGTGCGTTTGCCGTGTTTTAGTGCCGAGCGGCTAAGTTGGCACAGGTGGTGCATTTTCCAGTCATCTCTGTTCACTGAAAACACCTGGGTCTGTCCCTTGACCTGCCAGGGATTTTTTCGAAACCTCACGTCTCCTCAACATGCATCTAGCCTGGCACAAACACTGTGGTGGCATCCTCATCATGACGAATTCTCTTCACACGACAGTTGCGTTTGAGCCATCATGATTTGGGGTGCCAGGCAATTGACACCACGATGCAGATTGAGTGTCTTTGAGGGGAAAGAAAATCCTGTTAGCTCTCGTGCCACCACTGGGTGGCAATAGGGCACTGAAAGTGCACAGGTGTGATGGACCATAAACCTAATTTCTTGTCTTCTTAGTTCTTTCGGTAAAGTCACGTAGAAGGGAAATAATAAAAATAAAACAAAATATATAACAATATTTTATTATGTTTTATTTTTATTATTTTATTATTTCCCTTCTACGTGACTTTACCGAAATAACCAAGAAGATGAATCCCTGCAGTCACGAAAGCTTTAAATCGAAATCTAATTTCTTGTGTCTGACAATAAAGGAAGTTCAGGACCACTTCGTTGATTGTAATAAATCTGCGATGATTGTGCAATGCACTATCTCTTGTGACACCAGATCTCACAATGGACATTCATAGAGTGGTACTCCGATTTAAACCAAACTTTGTACATGAAAAAGTGCGTGTTGATAGAACAGGATTTTTGAAAAATTATGTGTCCCTCGTTGCCTCTGGCAGGTGAAATCGAGGTATTACCCATCAACCCTTTGCGTATTCTACATCCCTTCACACGCCACGTGTTGAGCAGTTGCTGTTTATTTTATTTACCATTGCAATCAACTCTAACCAGATACACTTCCAATAGGATATAACATCTTGAAGCTACAGTCCCTTACGCAACCAGTTCTCGGCTCCACGGTTTAAGAATTTAATCAAGTATGCCCGGTTCAAAGCGGGGATGCATCGATCGTGGACTCGGCACATCTCACCAATTCAATATTGTCTGCAAATTGACATCTTCAAAGCAAAACTGTCAGAAGGTTGTGGAGGATTGTGTGGATGTGATGAGGCCATATGCATCTGACGTGCCCGTTGTGAGCTGCTTTTGTTTAACTTTCACAGGCATTTTCATCATTGTTTCTCAATTTAGAAAATGTAAAAACGTACGCCATGAGAGCCATGTGAAATTTTGGCAATCCTGATACATCACCGTGCACCGTTAGTGTACAACATTTGTTTGAAATCTGAGCGTCACACTCCCGAGACACATTTCTTGTCAATGTTGTGTGGAATCGGGTGAAACGGCCAGGCTAGTGTGTTTACGATGCACACAAAACAGGCTACATGAAGCATATAACATTCATTGTGATGTTGCACCGTGTTGTTCAAAAAGATGCGATAAAAGTCTGTATTGCCTGTTCATAGTCCATCAAGCATGGGGCCTTCTGGACGAATGTTTCATCACAATGGTCATAGCAGCAGAGATGGGTGTTTTGGCTGTATATGAATATATCACTGTAGCCTGTGATCTTTATGTATCCATATATATGTCAATAAAGAGCTATTACGGATTCCTATAAAACGCAAACCTACAAGAGTATCTGCAGTCAAGCGTTACGTGCAGGTCCAATTTACATATATTCTGCGGTGCTCTGTTGCGGTGGATACGAAGTGGGAGCATACCACATCATTGGGATGTTAATTCATAAAAGGCATAAAATTAAACATTGGTAAGATTCGTCTCTATACAGCACGGGTTTGGATATAGATTGTTTTTAAACAATAATTGACCTGACACGTGCCACTGAAGATGGCCCTGATAAATACTGTAAATAAGAGCTCTTTGTATGTTGAACTTCTTTCGCACCGTACGCAGCCAACCGTGTGAATCGGAGGTACAAGGCCAGTCCGCTGCTGGATCAAGGCCTCCTAGTGTCGTACGGATCAAGGAGGGTGTTTGATTATAGATTTGAAGCTTTCGTGACTGCAAGGATTCATATTATTAGGTTTTTTCGGTAAAGTCACGTAGGTAAAAAATAAAAAATGTATTTTTATTTTACTTTTATAAATTTTTATTTTATGCCTACGTGACTTTACCGAAAATACCTAAGAATATGTTTGATTATACTTTTGCCATGATCGGCAGTGCGGGTTGGTGGAGGGTTAGGAGTGGTGCCCAGAGCCAGTTAAGCTTTCGCTTGCCGCTGATGTTCAACCGAGGATACATAACGTTTGCAGGGAATCTTAACTCGGATGCGGAGCCGGGTTCATAGCGCAGTGCGCCAACCACTGCACCACCGCTCCAATCCTGATAAATTATGCTGACTTAACTCAAGGTGCGTGATCTGTGTAGGGGGTGGTGGTGTTTACCTCTGCAAATAATACGGCATTAAAGCTGCCGCAAGATCGCTTAACCCCGAAACCGCGCGTCGCTGAAATTCCATCCCCGTCCGTTGCCGCGTGTACTGCTGACCTCGATATGATTCAATTACTGCTCGCGCGCCATCTCCACGTTCCGTCCATTCGGGTTGATTCCATGGAAATTCCACGGCAATTATAGCCCCAAGCCGGCGGCTGCTCCTTTCGGTGGCACGGCTGTTCCCCCTCCATTCAACATCAGTCGGGAAAAACAAACCCGCACCGGACAAGAGGCCTCCCCGTCCCGCGCTCCCCCAGCAGAAACGTAGCTGCAATGTCGGTCGCCCGTACGGCACAATGGTTAATGTCTCAAGTCGTCAAATCAATTTATTTTCGCTTAACACGTGGCGCCTTTCTGGTACGTATCTGCCACTCAAAGTGTCATAATATAAACATTAAATAAGAAAATTATATTCAAAAAGGAAAATTCGTTTGTATTCAAAAGCCTAAACATTCCTAAAATAAGGTGATACCACCCACAGGGCCGACACTGCATGGGGGATTTACAAGTAAATCCAGCAGTGGATTTACAAATAAGCGGTATATATTATTATACTGGTAAAAAACACATTGCGTAAAACTACATTTCAGTAACCATTGTTAAATACCACGGGAAGCCAATTACAACGTTGCTTTGTGATGTAAAGCAACGCGTGGTGGTGTGGACGAACCAGATTATTCGGCGCCTTTTCTCAAGAAAATTGGTTTGATAGAGACCCGTGGGGTTAATGAAGATAGCAGCCGAGTGAAGATGAGAAGTTTGAAACTACACACAAAAAACTCCCATAATGCCAAGAGCAATCAACCTCTGTACAGAGAGTACTCGATCATTGCACACTCGAGGTTTGACGGCCTGCACTGCTTTTTCGTTTTGATCGGGGCTGTTCTGGTCATCTCTACATTTTGGACGAGTTAAGATCGTGGCTTAATTGAATCTGCCGGCCTCGCTAAGACCCCCCCCCCCCCCACCGGAGTAGACCGTGGATGGATTAAAAGAAGACGCTCGCTTGTAATGAAGACCATGGCCTGTAATTAAGCCTGCAGGTTAATGAATATTAATTTGTATTTTCATGGAGAAGATGGGGTAAAAACATGTGGAGGCGCGTGTAATTAAGACGGGCGTAATGAAGACTATCTAAATGAAGGTGCCGGCTTAATTAAAAATACGGCTTAATGAAGATTCGGGATTTGTGTAGACTGGAGCTTAATGAAGGCGACAGGTTAATTGATATTATAGCGGCTGATTGAAGACTGGAGAAAATCACGAAGACCGGTGTTTTATGAAGACCCTGGCTTAATGCTGACCACGGGGCTTAATTAAGACGGCAGCTTAATTAAGACAGCCGATTCTTGAATACTACGGATTAATTAAGACCGCGGGTTTAATGAAGATAGCGGATGAATGAAAGCCAGTGCTGACTGCAGCCGGTAATTTGATGAAGTTGGTAGCTTATCGCGCGTACACAGCCCGCTGAGAGTAAAGGGCGTGCATATATACGTGCATATACTGTATATCATATACTTCACACTATTTTAGAAAAAAAGTTTTGCTGGCTGGCTGGATGTCATGTCCCCAAACGGACAGACCGTCACTTCCGAAGGATGGTGCCGGCCGCTACTAAAAGAAAAACCTAATTATTATGCTCATGATGACGGAGACTTGTGTTGCCTCCGAAACGTCGTGATTTATTATTTAATTTTTATTTCTATTATTTTATTATTTACTTATTTTTACTTACGTGACTTTACCGAAAAACCTAAGCGTATGAATCCTTGCAGTCACGAAAGCTTCAAATCTAGAAATTATTAATGAAGATTTAATGAAGATTTAATCTCATGACGGTAACGGGGGAGGGGAGAGGCGATAAAGTTGGTGGTGATGATGGGCAAATTGGGATCCATATTCACTCCATTTGTCCAGACGGCCACTCCACCGGTGCTACCAGACCCTGGCCGGCTCCACCAGTAGGGCCTGGTGGTGCTGCGGCTCGAACTTTCAAACCCCGGAGCAACGCAGAGCTTCCTCGGCTCACCGAGATGTGTGGATAAAGCACTGCTTCATTGTCGCTGTGGCGTGGTGCTGCCAGATGGTATAGCCCAGTGTTCTTCATTGCAAGGCCCGCGAGCCATTGGTGGCCCCTGGTGGCCTTCGTTAGTGCGGCCCCTGGCGTGTAGCCCCCCGACAATACACGAATGTGAAAACAGCCCGAGCAGGCGGTGTGGCGGGCCTCATGACACTGACGTCTGGTCGGCGAAAGTGGGCCCTC